AGCATTGCTGGCAAGTTGTTCCCACTGATTAGAACCTTTCAGTGACTCATAGTCACAGCATCTACCCTATTACAGTTAAAGCATTTACGTTTTTTGACTGCACATTTGCATCTGATGATAAACTCAGCCTCATGTTAGTAAACAGAATTTCCCTACAGAAAAATTATGCAGTTCTCACCAACATGTCTAACTCTTCATAGGAAAAAATCCACGAGCAAGTGTTATTCTCCTTCTTCCTGAAATGAGCAGAGACTAGAAAATGCTTGGTCTTATCAATCCAATTTGATTTCTTGTGCTTGTTAATGAATTTTCAATTTGGGCATGGAAGAACGCAAAGGAAAAATATTTTTGCTTTTTCTATTTTCTTAGCAGCATAAAATTCAGAGAAGAGAGCAGAAATTTTAACAAGTGGTTCACTGGTGCCTACACATATGTGTGTGCTGATATAATATAAAATATAACCGTATAAGTAATGAAGACAGATTCTATCACTTGCAAAACCAGTGGGAGCTCTGGTTTCCAGACTTTCTTGAATGATGGTTCTTAAATCCTCAAATATGAGGCTGGCTGTATATCTGATTTGCCACAAAGCAAAATATTGAAGATAACAAAAAAAATCTATGCCTATGCATTTTTATTGAATACAAAGTAAGGTATCTAATGCAAGGATTATTTCACCTGAGAAGAAACTGGTTAAAGGAAAGAGGCAAAATAAAATTGCTTTGGGTTTCTCTGTGTGCATATTCTCTAATGAACATAGTAAGTCTTTTTATATTAACTGTGGGATTTTGGAGTCTAAATGTGTATGCACGGCTGAGAAAACACGATCAGCTCTTGTGAGAAGAAGTGTACAAGGTGCAAAGGCACACCCTGTCCTAACCTGTGAAATCATGTCAGCACTGAGTACACATTATGCCCTAGAATTTCTGCAAGCATATATCTTTGTTCCAGGTGTTACACCCAGTCAAGTTTTTTTTCCGACTAGACTGATAGTACTTTGTTAGCAGTTGTCTGTTCCTTCTGAGTTGTTCATAATCTTTTAGTAAATGACAAAGTTTAATTTTCCTAACCTTCACTTCTAGCCACTCCAGGTTATAACAAAGCCAAGCCAGGCTCACTGACCCTCCTGTTTTAGGCACCATTAAATCAGCAGGATGCACAGAGAGGCAATGGGACCTGGCAAGAGAGCTTCTGGTGGCAGCCACTGGAGATCAAGGCTGGCTGGTGAGGTAGTGTGGGCATGCTGCTATGGAGGCAACACACTGACTGAGAGTCTTGTGCTTCTTGAAAGCATCAGTTTTCCTGGAGCTAACAAAAAGTTTCCTCAATGCTTCATTGTCAGAATCTATGTTCACTCCCACTTTTTTTTTAAAGTCGAACCTGCATATTCCCTATTACTCTGATTTATGAAGCTTTGTTCTGATAAATTAAAGATGATCTGTGCTTAAAGATTTGGTTAGCATAGGGTAGAGGACACATCTGGCCAAAGAAATCAGGAATGGTTTTGCCTACAAACTTGTTTGAATATAATTAAAAAACTGAGAGAAAACAGTCTCTCAGATGCATTCAAACATCTGAAACAAAATTTCTGCTAAACAATTATATGATGGCTTTATTGGTTTGTTTAAAAAGGATAATATTTTTTGATCACAGTATGGGTAATTTCTGGTATTGAGTACAATGAATCATAGGTTTGTTTAGTAAACAAGTCTACAGTGTAATATTAATAGCTTTTCTTGGGACCACATTAGCCATTCTCTCGTAGCAAATCTTTGCGAAAAGTTTCCTTCTATTGATTTCACTAACAGTACTAACAAGAAGGGCAAAAAAACGACTGTGGTATATCAAAAGATGAATGACACAGCCAAGGATCTCAAAGGGAAAGGATAAGTCAAAGACAGGCTTTGAGAAACTACCAGTGACAGACCAGAGGCAGCTCTAGCCCCATTAACCAGTTTTGTTTTATTGCAAATATTTCAATATTGGATTTTTTCCCTTAATGCCACATCAATTACGTGAAAGTCTGTCTGGTATTGAATTTGATATTACTGCCAATCAACAGCCCGTTCGACAGAGATTTATAGTAACAGTGAAATTCCTACCAAAAACTGCCAGTTTACAATCAGAGATTTCATTTAACCTGAAACTGGCCAGTGCAGACTGTCCTGTAAGGCCACCTTACCCAATGTGAGCTGACAGGGAGCGAAACTGCAGAGCCTGATGGCCACAGCAATTACCTGGGAGCCTGGAAGAATGGAGTGGTGTAACAAACACAGGTAGGACTGCCAAAGGAAAAAGGCTGTCACTGCTCATGTCTGGGATGTAGCAGATGAGGTAGAGAAGGTGGAAGCAGTGCCTGTAGTGACTATAACCAGATGTAACTGGACTGGCAGAGTTGATAAATGAGAGTAGTTCTGCCTCTGGGGTAAAGAGAAAAGTTGAGTAAAAGGGAAGATGAATGCAAACTTGGGAGTTGATTCAAGATGCCATTTTTCAGAGCCAAACAGGATGTAGGGCAGTCCCTCCAAGAAAAGATGGCTTGTATTGCTTGCTGGGCACTGCTAATGCAAGGAATTTTCGTCCTGCTTTTTCTTCCTAGGTATTCTCTGGTTTGGTATTTCCATTCTGGCTGGGAAAAAAATGAGACCTGTCCTCAGACTTCAGATTATGAATAGAAATTACTGTGTGAGGAGTGCTGAGTAGATGACACATTGGATCTGCGTGTGTGCCTTGGAAAAGCAATGGGTTTGTGAGCAAACTGTATTAGTGTGAATTTAATAAGGGTTTTTATTCGTGGATGCAGGTAATGAACATACACTGAGTTCATATGTCTGTATGGATCTCACACAGAAAGTGAAGTTAATGTCTAAGAAAAGATAGGGGAAGGAATTGAACATCTGTTTAGAGTACCTAAATAGCAAAGGCAGATCAACTCAGACAAGTGCATATATATTTATATTTATATTTATACATATGGGTCCAAGAATACACAAAAAGAAAGAGAACAGATCATCAACAGAGAAATGAAGAGAAAAATATTTACAAAAAGTGAGTTCCAGACAGAAAATAAAATAAAGGAGCCAAATCACTACAGCAAATGCCTTGAAGGAACATACGTAAAGCTTCAAACAAACAAAAACCCCCAACCAACCAAATAAAATTGGAAAGATATACCATTTAATGTGCAAGGTAATATAAACTGACATCAAGTTTACTTCAGAAAATGTTGCCAACCATGTTGATTTTACAGGCCACTATGCCAGCCATTATTATTGTAATTAAGTACGTATAGCTTAGCTATAAATAGTTAGGTCAGTATAACTACAGCTGCACTAGAAAGAATTTACCAGTTATGTCAGAAGAAAACAGATTCAGAACAGTAAAAAACTGTTTAGTCAAAGAGGCAGATCTGAATATCAAAGGAAAAAAAGCAAGGAAAACCACACAGAATGAATAAGTTGCTAATTTGCACTTAGCAAAATATTTACAAAAATACTGCTATTAAGTTAATTATTAGCAATCTGTAATCAGAATGTGCTTATTTTCATCTTGCTGAAATCAGCAGAAAAACCCACCTGAAGTGAGGCTCCTTTCCACAGCCCAAAGAGCCTCATTTCTTTTTACTGGCCCAATATTTTTAAATGTTGTACAATGTACTGTGCACAATTTTTCAGTGTGACCCAGCAGCAGGTTCTGGAGTAAGAGAGTCTTTTTCTGGAGATCAGTACTCAAAGCAGTGGCCAAACATTCCTGAAGAGATGGAGACAGTTATGAGTGGCCAGATTTTCATAAATGGCTTATTAACAACCTTCTTTCTCAGAACCTGAAAATCTCGGAAAGCTGCAGCTTTCCTGAGAAGAGATACATGAGAGTAACAATTCTTCTGTCTTGCAAAGTCAGACCAGCTTGTTCAGCATTATTTCCTACTGCTTGAGTAAAAGACATTTTTATCATCTGTTAAATGGGAAGAAACTTCTCCACTTATGTGCTTCTTTCTAAGTGTTCGGCTTCATTTGCATCTCAATTCCTTCTTCTACTGAACTATCAGAGAAATTTCCCCAGGCACAAAGGTTTCTGTTTTCCATCCTTGTATCATGATTGAGGCGGACATGGGGGAACAGAGCTGCAGTGCAGTTATGCTCCAACACTGCATTTATTTTTATACATTTATGTACATATTTATAGGCATATTTGTCTCCTAAGCATAAAGAACATTGCAGAAACATGCTCTTGCAGATTAAAAACGAACTTTCCTGCTGATTCCAGTAAAGTTACTCTATTTTTAACCCAGAGGTTCTGCTTTCCCTAAAACTGAAACTCAACCCAAGGAGGGCAGCTCCTGCAAATACTCCACTGAAGACAGAGATGAACAAAATGGAAAATTGCCATTATTTTTGCCCATGCCAAAACGTAAAATGACTTCGAGTTCACAAGTTGACCTGCTAAAAACACATATCTCCGAATGGGGTCTAGGGCAGTAGGGATGCTCAAGGGCAGAGCCTCGAACCTGGGAACACGGACTGTGCTGACAGAGGCCTCCCGCCTCCAGTGTCTCTATGTGTTTTCTGCTTCTTTTTAAGATAAAAGTACCTGCAGTGTAGGTAAGTGAAAGTGTTTTCCGATGGAAATAAGGTTTATACAGAGCGGTTTGTCCGCTTGAACCCACAGCTCTGACGTGGGCAGACGGCCCGAGCTGCATGAGCGGCATTTCCCGACCCGGCCGACCGGTCTCCGGCGCCGTCCCCCTCCCGGGGACGCGGGGATCTTGAGAGCGCGACCGCCGCGACCTCCCCCCGCACCCCTCCCGCAGCATCACGGGGGGAGCCCGCGGGCCGCCCCCGGGGCCGCCCCTCCTTCGCCGCCGGGGTGGGATCGCTGCTCTGCCCTCCCCAGGGCAGGGCCGCCGGGTCCGGCGCGGAACGGCGGCGAGCGGGCGCGGTGCCGGGGCGATGCCGGCGGTGCGGCTGCGGCTCCCGGGCTGCTGCCTCCTGCTGCTGCTGCTGGGCGGCCGCGGCCCCGCTCGGGGCACCGCCGCCCTCGGCCGGGACGGGGTGTCTTCCCTGCGGAGTGAGTGACGCCTCGGGGTCGGCCCGGGGGTGGGGGGCGGCGCGGCGTGCGGAGGGCAGCGGCGACGGCCCCGCTCCGCGGCGGGCGGAGCTCTTCGCCCCTTTCCCCCTTCGCCCCTGGCCGTCCCGCAGCCCCGTCCCGCCGTGCGCGGCGCGGGGGAAGCGCGCGGGTTTCCCGCCCCGGGCTCTGCGGAGCCCCGGCGGCTCCGGGCGCTGCAGGATTCCAGGACGTGCGTTTGCCGGGGGTCAGCCCGGTCCGCACAGCCGTGAGGGGATCTGGGGGGACGAGGGGCCGGGAGCGGGCACTGAGCCCTGAGGACCTGCCCCGCGCCACGTGCGTCCTCCCTGCTCATTTTTCCGCTGCCCGTTGCGGTCCTCCATACCCGGAGGAAATATGGATAGGTTTTTTTCTCATTTCCAGTAAATTCCAGTTACTTTCTCTGTTACCACATAAGCAATTCTCACTGGTTTTTTTTGGGTGGGGGAAAGGAAGTGGAAGGTAAGGAGGAAGGAAATGAAGATATCTTGTCTTCCTAGTTTTGTTGCAGCCGGTTATTCCCGATTAGCTCTGTTGAACCCAAGTAAACAGGAACTTGGAGGTACTGGTCAGCAATCAGGTCTTCATCTGGGGCTGCACATCAGCTTCAGGCTTCGCTTCTGGAAGTCTGTTTCTTGTCACCTTGTCCTGTGGAGAGGCAGGATGTAGGAGAAGCAGCAGTTTTCCAAAGGCTTCCCTGCACCCTGTCAGTTTCTGAAGCATAGACTATTTCCCAAATCCTCGTTCGCGAAGCCCAGCCATGATATGATAGACTATCTCCTTTTCTCCTTCTGGGTCTTCTGGGGCTTGCAAGTTCACAGAGCCTCAGTTGCAGGTCTTCATCTGCAGGACTTTGGGCACAGAATTCTCCCTGACACCAGGAGCTTTGTAATAAAACTCGTCTTTGTGAGCAGCTGTAAAATGGATGATGTAGCTTTGCAAGCTGAAAGGAGGGAGGCTGGAGGCATTCCCAAGGCTTGAAGTTGCTCCAGTTGACTCATTACCCCACTTGAAGACAGGGCTGAGCTGGGGCCTGTGAAGTTGTCACTGAGTTTGCCATCTCTCATGTCTTACTTCTGCCATGAGCTGGCCATTACCAGGTAGTCCTCAGGCCAGCACAGCTCTCTTGTCAATTGCGTTTTGTAGTTGGCAAATGGAAACTGCATTTGGAAGAGGGTTGTGTGGCTCAAGAATTATGGGCTGGCTGTTCTTGGCCTAACGTGCTGCAGAATGAAAAAAAAGGACGTTATTCACAGAGATCATCCAGCTGGGTTATTTGTGTAGGCTGCGCAAGAACCTTATCTTTTCTCAGCAGTCATTTCAACTTTTAAGAGCCTTACAGATAAAGGGTTTCAAAGGCTGAGAATCCTCCACCTCTGGGTTGTGGTGTTGCTCCCCCTACCCCAAGAAGGTGCTGTATGGGACCTACCGTGTGCTGTGGAGGTAGATTGTGAGTTTGATGAAGAAGTCCGTCCAAGTGTGAATCCCAGTATCATGGTGAATTAACCTCATTAATCAGTGTTTACTGGTGGTGACATCCCAGTTTTTAGTTATCCCAGTTTGTTATTAACAGTGTATTTTCTTGGTCAACCTGGATAAGACTGCCGTGGGAAAGGCAGACCATAGTGTGAGAGGCAGAAAGCCTTTCTGGCCATGTAGATAGAGACTATATGTGTTGCCCTTGGAAGATTGGGTTGGATAAGAAGGATGAAACCAGCACAAACTACAAAACTTCACAGAAAACGCTGTGAAAGCAAAGGGCCAAACTGAGTATCTGTCACAGTGTCTGATGGTTTTTCAGTGAGCTCAGACACATGAGAGCTATAGAGATACAGTGGATTAAAGGAACCTTGCTCTCCCCCAGATGGTTAAGGACTTCACGAAGAAGAACTGCCAGGTGCTTGGGAGATGCAATTATATACATTAGGCTAGTTCTCACCTGCTGCCTGTCAGAAGGGCTTGCTCCTGCTCCTACACAGGCTCCCAATCTCTATAGCCACAGGGTAAACAGCCCCTTTTATTAGTGATACAATCTGCAGTGCCCCCTCTCTGTAAGTCAGGCTGCCTGATGTGCTCGATGCAGAATCTGTAACTGAAAACCTCTCCATAATCTCTCTCTTCTGCTTTTTGTGTACACATTATATTGTTAAGCTGATCTCTTTTATGTCTGTAACACTGTGACACTGCTGCTTGAAAAATCTTCCTGTTTTAGGGCTGAAGCTAAGTTGTATGTACTAAACTAGGACACAGCATCTGGGTAGACCTCTGCATCTCATATTTTATTTGTGGGCTACATCAATTTGAGAGGACTTTTTTTATTATTATTATACTTAGTGCTTCAGTATGTTAGGTGTTATGAATTGCAGCAGTTTGAAAGTACACATGGCAGAAGTTATCGCTGTAAAATTTCAAGGCAAAATGGAAGAAGTGCTGCTCAGGTTTCCAGTGCATAATCTCCTGAGGCATAAAATAAGTATCTCGCATATAATGTAAGAGGAACTCCCTGGGTTAATTACCATTGGATTTCAGAGTGAATCAGGCTTATATTTTACTGATTTCCAGTTCCTCAGCTGCTCTCATTTTTTTCAATCTCTATGCTCAGTTTAACTTTTGTTCCTAAATCATTAAATAGCTGACTTTTTTCACATACTTATAGTGTGATGTCACATGGTTCAGTGAATTTCTGCATGATTCCAAGAAACCTAGGATATCAGGCTAACTGCACAACATCTGCTCTTGCGGAGGGTAGGCATGTGTAGTTGAACAATATGCATCGTATAGGGAAGGCATACTTTAACCCTTGGCTACCAATTCTCATGGTATAGATAAATCTTACCCTTTCTGTATCCTATTTACAATGCAACTTATTTTTTCTGTCTCTATAGTTGCAGCGAGTGAAGAATGAATACTGTAGAGAATACGGTCATGTCAGCCTTAAACTTGTTAGCTTTTATTTTAATTGCACTCTCCAATCTACCCGAGGGAATTATTTTACAATATACAGCATGACTTCGTGTAACATTTAAACCTTTACTCCGTTACTGGTATTTCTTGGTGACCAGTGGATTTTTTCCTTTAAACATGACTGATGTTTTTGGGCACCCCATTTTTTTTTTGGCTATCCAACTTGAGAAATATTGCTTAGCCTTATTTTTACACGCTTGCAAGTATTCCACATGTTAAAAACTCAACTGGAAGTAAATTTAAACCAGTACTCTTATTTTTTGAAGTGACAGTTATTCTGATGGATATTTTCAGTTTTCTTCCTTAATATCTCCAATTAAAACATTTGTCTTTTGATACTGTTTGTTCAATTGCAGTATTGTACAGTCTGAAAATTTGAGGTTTTTTCTCCCCTACAGATAAAGGGATATTTATTATCCAAAGTGAAGATTCCAACTTGTGCATTAAAGCAGAGAGAGTTGGCCTTGTTCTGGAAGACTGCAGTCAGTCCTCAGAAGACATGTTATGGAAATGGGTATCCAATCGTCGTCTTTTCAACATAGGTAGAAGTACCTGTCTTGGACTGAACATCAGTAGACCAGAACAGCCGTTAAGTATGCTTGAATGTGATTCAACTCAGTACTCATTATGGTGGACCTGTGATGGAAAAGCATTAGTTGGTGTATCAGAGTACAAATTAGCTGTTGAAAACAGCAAACATATTGTGGCCAAAAAAAAATCTACTTGTCAGTGGAAACAGTATATGTCCTATGATGAAGACGTTTGCGAACACCCATTTCAAGGTAAAAACAAATTTTTGTCATCAAAATGTAGATAGGAAAAGTTTCAGAAATTCTTTTGAAGGGAGTTGAGGTGCTTATGATCCTTTCCAGTTTCTATTGCAGTTTTAGACTCGAAGTTTGTCTTTTTTTTTTTAATATGTGATGGTTGAGGTGAACATACCACACTAGTGATTTTTTTTTCATTAAATGGGCCTCAAAAAATGCCTGTATCCTTGCAAAGCAGGAAATACTCATTTCAAATCCTCTGTAAAATAAAAAAGGGAACTAAGGGTTTGCTGTTACCTGTCCTGCAGCTTTCATTATCAGATAAACCCAAAGAGAGATAAGAAAGAATTTGGAATTCCCATCACTGAAAATCAGTCTGTAATTGCAGTGTGCATGGACTGATGCTTGTGGTGTTCAGTACCTGGCCTCTGAACATGCTAAACTGTGAAACACAGGTCAGAATTTTGATTAATCCTGCTGTACAGCTAGTGAAGATGTAGGAATGTAGCTCAAGATCCAACTTTACAGACCTGAACAGTTTTCCAGGTATAAGGGCTAAGACAAACCCACTGACTACAAACAGCAACAGCCCATACCTTGATCCCTTCCTCGGCATTTCTGTAGAAGGAAGGACCTAATATTTGCACAGTGTGTCTTAGGCTGGAGCTGTTCATTCTCCCCATTTGAACTGGGTGTTTGGATTGGAGATCTGGTCTCAGTGGTTTCCTCTGTAGGTGTAGCTGTGCTCGGCCTCTGTTCTTACCAAAGCCCTCTCGGGACCTGTGATAACTGGGAAAGCACTGCAGCATCCAATCTCTTCTTTAAAACCTCATGTAATTTATACTTCAGACCCGACACTTGCTGTGTACACATAGTGAGATGAAAGTAGACCTGGTCTAGCTGTAATACTGCTACATCTGTGAGAAGAGGATTGCCCTTTGGCAGGCACTTCTAGCCTGGTTTAAGGACCAGAGTATTTAATTGCATGGCAAAATCTCTTTCACCTCCAGGTTCCATTTTCCCCCTTCCACCATAGGTCATGTATATGCAAATGCAAGCGTGTTAATCCATCAGGTTGGGGGAGGGAGGATAGTTACCTTCAAAGAAAAAAAAATATGTATAACTATGGTAGGAAATCTGTGGCTATTGAATTTGGTTTCTTGCCAGGACTGAGGTAATCCCTTGTAGCTCTATAGCTAGCAGCATGGTAGCAGGCAGACAGAGGAGCAATCCTGATTTCTTTTGACCAGTTCTTTGTATCATCTCTTCATATCAGAAGGCTCTAAAGGGGATTTACAATGTGTAAACTGCTCTTTTATATGTGCACAGCCAGCCATTAACTTTAGAAACCTCTATGAACCCGACAGTATGTAATGATTTTGCAGTTGAAGGACTTTGATCTTAAAGCTAGCAACTTGGGATCTTTGACAAACAATTTCATTCGAAGTGTGATTGTGGTTATTTGACCTATTTTAAAAGGTCTTAGGTTAAGGAGACACTCACCAAGGTAAACCTTTTACAGCTTTCAGTTGCACTGGATTCTCTCAATATTTTGATCCTCAAAGTACAAGAGGAAAATATTTAAATATTTTGGAAGGCATTGATTGTGACAACAGACGTATGTAATGTCAAAATTTTAGCTATGTTATTATTCTCTGTGGGATAAAAGCTTATTTTTAAAGTGTATTTAGTATTCCTTTGTCTTTTAAATTTCCTTTCCCATAGAATGACAAAGAGAATGGAAAACACATTAGAAATCCACTTTATAAAGAGTGGGAGGAGCAGGGAAAATAATGCTAAATTACTTGTCTGTCATAGGCTAACAAATAAGTAAAGTTTACATCTGAGCATGGACTGATTTCGCTAACTGTTGTTTTATGTAGTGGTTCTGAAACATAAGCACAGGCTTTATGTGTTAATTGGTCAAGTTTGGGGGTTTTTGGTTTTTTTGTTTGGGTTTTTTTTCCATCCTGGTTAGTTACGAAAATGTGCCTTGTGGTGACAAATTTCATAAACTGTTATTTCCAGAATCTACTGAAATTATGTTGCTCACACCGGGAATGCTGTGTTATCATTTATAAATTAAAATTAGAAAATAACTTTAGACACTCTATTTTTATCATTGCTGGTAAACGCATATGGAAATGAAGAAATTTTTGTGGTCTGCATTTTTTTAGTCTCTGCATTTTGTTTTTCCAGAAACATACACCTTGCTGGGAAATTCTTTTGGTTTCCCATGTGTTTTTCCCTTTAAATATAACAACAAGTGGTATTATGAGTGTACTAGAGATGGAAAGGAATCTGACTGGTGTGCCACAACAACTCACTATGAACAAGATGAAAAATGGGGTTTTTGTCCAAATGCTGGTAAGATGTTCCTTGTCTTCTCTCTCCCTCTTCCCCCCCAAGAGGTTGTTCTTCATTAGTAATACTAGGATGCACTCTGGTTTTGGATTACTTCTCTTCTGGTAGAGGGGAATGTCTCTTTAAAAAACACAAAAGCAGGCTTTAGCAAATTTTATCATAATTTATCATGCTTAACCTTTGGAGACTTAAGTCCTCATCCCAAAAGCAAAACTACAGGGAGTGAGCAGAAGGATATTACTCTGTGCAGCCCATTGACCTTACCCTGCAGCTAAACATCTCTGTACTCTGTCCTAGTGATATATAGGCAGCTTTTCTGAAACACATAAAGTAAGGGTTGTCTTGCAAAGTCACATTCTGCTTTTGACTGCATTACATCTTGCACATTCCTTTTCTTCTATGCACTGCTTGGACACATCTTGGGCCTAAAACACTAAGAAACAATAGCTTTAAAAATGCTTGCTGTTGAAAAGATTTTGGATGTATAATCTTTGTGAATAATTCAGTTTCTTGAATAAATAAGCAAAATAGTATCTTCTAGCAGCAGAAGGGAAAAGCCTTCCCTGCTCAAGCTATGTTTCTTAAGCATCTTAAAAACAGCTGTAAATGTGTCTTTGTAATGGGGTTTTTTGGGCAATTGTTAAAATAGATGGTATTTTCGGCCTTGCTTATATTTTGTAATTATAGTAAGTTTATTCTCTTGAGTACAAGATTCAAGAAGATCCAGTGACTGTTGCTCCACAAGTTGGGTGAGGTGTTCATAGTTTGAATATTTCAACATTCAGCTTTAGAAACAAATGGTTATCTGGAATAAATTAAAACATACTCTTTTGGCTTTATGAGAGCTGTGAAAATCACCACCAGCTGCAGATCAGTTCCTGAGCATTTTATCAACCATATGAAATGTGGAGCAACATTTTATTTCATTAGTGCCCAGTTTCCTTATGTTCTTTAACAAAGAAACAGGAAAGGTGATTGTAATCGTGCTTCCATTGGGATATTGCTGTCATTAATTAATTGAATTGTTCAAGGTGTTATGTTTCTGATTAATTTGGAGTCTTGGAATGTTGGTGATGAGTCTGTTTTTGAGTAGAGAATGACTGTGACATTTTTTGGAAGAAGAACCCCAACACACACATTTGCTACCAGTTCAACCTTGTGTCTGTGCTGAGCTGGCGTGAGGCACGGGCCACCTGTCAGCTGCAAGGAGGAGACCTGCTGAGTGTCACTGACCCCGAAGAGCAGAACTACATAAGTAACTTAAGCAGTAAGTAGGCATTTCTCTGGATACCTTGTAGGAAACCTGTAGTTGGTTTCCTCTTTACCCGTGCAAAGGGGTACATTTTGGAGCTTAATACTCTGTGTGATGTCTCTCCCACTGCTGCTTGTGGGGCTTTATCATGTAACACACCTCAGCAGCTGTTTGAAAAAGCAAGGATGAAGGTAAGTTCCCACCATAATAAACTGAAGTGCAGAAGTGGTGATATGTGTTACACAGGGCTGTAATTTTCTTAATTATCCCTCCCCACAAGGACTCCCATTCATTCTGCAGCTGTGATTAGGGAGTGTGTTTGTTTGTTTTGGAGAATTATACAGGTATCTACCTTCTCTGCAATGTACCCTGGTGTCCCTTTCTTCTGTTAAGTTTCCTTTGTAAGCTGGACTTCACCAAATGTGAATGACAAGAACATTTATGGAGCAAGCATCTCAGAAAAAATGTGCAGAGCCTTCTGACAGCATGGCTTTTGTGGATATTTTAGTGTATGTGGAGAAGATTAAGCTCAGGAATGGGTGGTAGAGCTCTAATGCAAAAGGTTACCTTGGGTTTCTTGCCCATTCCTTCCCATTATTGCTGGTTTTCAATAGCAGGATATAAGCTAACAGGAAGTTTTAAAAATTATTTAATTAGCTTTCTGATATGCATACAAGATGGTAAAGGGACTGAAAATTGTTTGGTTTATGGAAAGCTGAAACGGGCTAGCTGTTATGTAGCTGCTTGTTCTAGACTTAACTTCTAAGGTCAGCAACAACTTCTGCAGGAAGGGTTTGCAGGATGAGTGGCCTTTGAAGGATTTCAGACTTCTGAGTTTATTCCTTTTCATCTTTGTGTTGGTTAACAAAGTAACAAGTTAGGAGAGCAGATGTGTCTGTAGATATTTTAAAATATGGGGAAAGCATGGAGTAATACTTTGTTTATTTTTTCTTTTTCAGGGCAGTTAAACGCCACAGACATGATGCTGTGGATGGGCTTGAATCGCCTGGATGATGATGCTGGCTGGCAATGGTCAGATGGAGCACCACTGGTGTTTGTGAACTGGAGAGCAAGTACTTGATGTTCCTCTTGCATATGTTTTAGCAGCATACACTGCTGTTCCTATAGCTATATTCGAAAAATGAATTAAGTGAATTTTTTTTGTTGTTGTTGAAATATTTGTTCGTATTCATTAACTGAAAGCCTTTCTAGGGATGTAACATAATTGAGGTTAGATCTGTTCACAACATTAATGGTCTAGCCCTTTTGTCATTTACTTTTAAAGGTATTTTTAAGATTTTTTTATAATTTTGTGCTTCTCAAAAATGTGTTTGCAGATGTCTCTGATAACCGTTTTAGAGAAAATCATTGTGCAGTGATTGATCCAAAATCTAAGTATGGCTGGCACAGTTATTTATGTGAATCTGGATTGCCTTTTGTATGCAAAAAATATTTAAATAAGATGGAGCATGAAACATTGGGTAAGTCTCTTAATGTTACTGTATCTTATTTGTGAGTGTGCAGGGAGAACAAGTGAAGCCACTTGAATATAAAGTCAGCAGAACAGAGTCTTAGCTGCACTAAATGTGTCAGTTTGATAGTTTAAGTTGAATACAGTTTATTTTAACGGATGTATTAACACTTTCTTCTGTTTAAATTCAGTTGTGGAAAACATGTTGAGAGTCTTAAAACTAACAAATAATTTTAATATAAATAGCACTTAATGGATTCCTTCCGTGATCGAAATGCTCATTCTCTTTATATTACAATAAGAGCCATGGATTTGCATTGAAAAATAGGTTTTCAGTGTGGATCGAATTAATCAGTGGCACACAGAAAAGAAACTTATATAAATGCAGCTCAAAATTTGCAGTTATTTTTATGCTGTGCTGTACTTTTGGTATACCAAAAAAGCATTATTTGTGTTTATATAATGAATATAGGATATACAGTACATAGAATGACTCAGATTGCCATTCTGTGTGCAAGTTAAACACAGAATTGAGTTTATTCTAACATAAACATTTACTAAATAAAAGCACTTTACATGGGTTCAACTTCTTCCTGACAGCTTAAAAGAAAATTTGGCTGCTTGTTTCAGATAATGAGAAAAGAGTTATCCAAACCTTTTGTAGGTAATGCATCTGAAAAAGCTTTATCTGTCTCTGAATCATGTTCAGAGGTAATAATGGAGATACAAAGTGTTTTAAGCTGAATTAGTGTTTGCACTAGTCCAGCAGCCCACATGGCTGAATCATCAAATAAAGTGGAAGAAATTTCAGTTTGCTTGGTAAGTGATGTTCCATAGAGGATGTGTTTTGGCCTCCATAAGTCATCTTGAAAAACTTTGTTTTCAACATTTGAAGATTAAAAAAAGATAAAAAATCTCTGAATGTGTTACGAACATAGCATAACCTTGGCAGTTCTATCTAATATATATGAACTCTGTATGCTCAATTAAAAGATACATGGAAGTATTATGCCACTCGTTGTGACACTGGCTGGTACCCACACCGTCGCAACTGCTACAGACTTCATAAAGAGGAGAAGACCTGGAACGATGCTTCTCTCTCATGCCAAAGTGATAATAGCAGGCTCGTTAGTATATCCTCCATGGCAGATGAAGAGCTGCTAATTAACTTACTTGAAAGTGGTGAGTTTTGGGAGTTCAAGCATGCAGTGTTTCTTGGTGTTTTGTGGTGCTCTTGTGCAGCCTTTAACATTTTTAGCCATCTAAGCACTGTATCACATGGCATGCCCAAATTTTGTTTACAAAAAAAGAAAACATGATCATGCTGCTCCTAGGAGTCTTATAAATGTATAGAGTCACCTTCTCCAGTAACAATTCTTAAAATATGAATCCACAGATTAGACACAGTGAGGCTGCAGTAAACGTAGGTAGCTTTTGTCCTTTCCAGTTCTTGCTTATTTTCAAAACTGTTGCAAAATATTCAGTGATCAACCTTATAGTAGAATTGTGCATAGAAGCAAAACCAATTCAGCGTGGGTTTTGCTTTCAAGCTGGCCTCGTCCACACTGTAAAGTTGCTGCTGCTAGTATGAGGTCAGAGTCCCTTTGATGTCAGCAGGGTGTATCAAAGGAGTTCTGCTGGTTCCCATTGTCCTAAGAGGTAGCATAATTATACAAGGAACTTAATGATCAAAAGCTCTTTGATGCATCGATGCCAAGACTTTTGTTGTCATAACAGCCACAAAGAAAAGCGAATATTTTTTGCCTGCCACTGACATCAGTGTACTGGCAGAGCTGCACAGTTTTGCTGGGAGTTTAAGCCTCCCAGAGCTTGGGCACAGTCACATGTGGAGATTAGGAGATTAACCACTGCATCATCTTCCACCCCTCCATAGATACCAAATACCATTATTTCCAGTGATGCTGCAATGGGTAGATGTAATTGTTCTCAATTTATATTCAGCTTCAAAGTCTGCTGCTTCTCTCTCAGGCTTGCTTCAGGCTTGTCTTCAGAAGAAGGGCTTATGGGTCTGAAAGCCTGACTGCTTTTTCTGTTTGTAGTAACTGGCCAAGTAAGACATTACATCAAACCACAAGCCTTGTCCTTCCTAGGTCTGTCAGCCACTGTGGCTGCAAATGTGCTGTCACTGTAGCCTATAAGCACTCGGAGAAACCTAAAGCTCAATGTGCATGGAAAGATTTTAAGAAGAAATATTTCACTTCAATGTCAGTTTTTCTCCACCGTTCACTTCAGAAAAGAACATATGCTCCTAATCTGTATTTTTTCGGGATTTCAAAGCATATTATTGCATATATTGGTCTATTTTTGAAACAATTTGGTTTTCGAGGGCAGTAGAACATAATCTCATCAGTAGGGTTTCCTAAAGCTTATACAACTTTTTTTTTCACTGAAAGAAGGACATTCCTATGAAAATCCCATGAGTAATTTTTAATAGTAGTGTTGATATTACAAGAAAAACAGGCTTTATTACTTCACCGTTAAAATCTGAACTCACTTATTCTTTTACAGAAAATGTAACTGAAACATGGATTGGATTATACAGTAATAACACCCCTGTTGTTTTTGAGTGGTCAGATAGCACCCCAGTAAAATTCTCTAATTGGCATAGCCAAGAACCTAACACCTTTCAAAGAACAGGACAACTCTGTGTTTCAGCACAAGGATCTGTAAGTTTTCTTTTTGAAAGAATTAGACACTTTTATTTTAGGTCATAATAATTTTTTTTTTGCTATGCGTACTTCTTTAAACCATGACCTGGAGTATGACTTTGTTTTTTGATTCTTAATATATTCATGTTATGATAAATGCAGTGTAGCCTTTAGAAACCAATGCATTTTCCAGCACTGATGCACAGAAAATTAATTATAGATTTTGAGCTTATGTTCAATAAAAAATGGTACATATGTAAAGCTTGCCAAATGGAAGAGAACCGATATGAGTGGGTAGTTTGATAAAGTATTTTAAAGTCCAAGTAGTATGTATTATAATTTATGATGCATCAGTTCTGGTCTTGAAAGCTTCAAATTCATGTTTTGAAAAACTGTCAGCTGTGCCTATATTATCTTGGTGTCAGTATCAATAAATTTTATGTAGCATTTTTCAAAATCATGGTAGTCTAGGTCTACATGAAATTATAGAAGTTTACAGCAGGAAAATTGACTTGAAATTAGCCAGGGGTTGTAAAAATGAGAGTAATGTTAAAACAACACTGTGTCCTGTGCTATTGGTATTCATGGCACTGTCAGTTTTTTTGTAATTTGGTCATGCATTTACTTTACTTTTATAAATAGCAGTACTTAAATTCACTAATACATGACTTACATAAGTAGCACTATAATCTTCTTTTTTTTCTTTTTTGCAAAGTATGTTCTGGCTAAGTGGGAAAACTGTATTAAAAAGAACTTCTGTTGTCTCTACAGTAGTGGGTCCAGGTTGCAATCTTTAATTCAGGGGAAAGCTGGGGCAATTTCCAATGACCTGGAAAAGTAGGTTTCTGTTGGAAGCAGAAAATAGGACTTTGGTAAAATTGTGGGGTTTAGATTCACAAAGTCATGGTTTACTCAGTTTTAAAGTGTAAACAAACAAATGAAAGTGAAAAATACAAAGGAAAAGGAGGTTCAAGATAAAAATTTTCAAGCATTACTTTTGGTACATATCCAGGATTTACAGATCTGCAAAAATTATATGGTACAAACTTTGTAATATCTTGAGTAAGGACTGTTCAAATATAAAGATTAATCTTACGAAGAACTATGATAACTAGCAAGAAAGTAAGTGCTCTGGCATGGCCATAGTGTTAGTTCATTAAGATGCATTACATCCCAAAGTCTGATTCAAAGAGACAAACCCATTTGTAGAATTGATTTGAGAATCCTGCCGATGGTGTTGGTAGAAATAAATGGTCTATCTAAGGACAAATATATGTAGTGAGAAAAATTATCTATTTTTTTACTGGAGAGTTAAAAGAAGAGGAGAGATTGTAATCTAATATGTGTATAGATGTGCATGAGAATATGAATATGTACAGAATATACTTCTTTTCATGCCTTAGGAGGGACGTTGGAAGATAAAAAAATGTGAAGACAGATCTTTCTACATTTGCAAAAAAGCAGGAGAATTTGATAATGTCTCTCCTGAACTGGAATCAAGTTGTCCAGAGGTAAGGGAGTTTGTGGTTGTTTTAGAACTGTACTTATAAAATAGAATTATATGGGAAACTTCTAAATGCAGCTACAGAACATGTAGATGTAAATAGATAATTGTAGTTTTTCATATTAAAGACAGCATGTTTTGCTAGGAAAAAAATCTGATTGTTTAGTTTAGAAGTATGTAAACTAAATTTTAATGTAATATTAAAAGCTTTCAAAAGATGCCTTTCATGGCTTGATGTGTTGTCAGTGGTTGTGACCCAAGTTCCTATTTTTTCTAGATCAAAAGTGAAACCCCTTTTGTCCACCATCTGTGCAAATAATGACTGTTATGTGATGCCTCATCCCACACATGGTTTTCATACATTGAAATGGAATGTCAGGGTGAAAAACAATCAGTTCCATTGACATGGAGAGTGAACTCTTCCACTTGTGCATTAGCTTTCCGTTTGCTTTCAGACACAAATGGGAAGGAGCAGAGCTGTGTCACTAGGACATTGCATCAGGTCTTCAGGCTTTTAGGCTCTGCATTCTGCTAGTAAAAAAGTAGCATGTAAATTATGATTTTATTTGCCATCAGTTCTTTTTCACACTATGAGAAGACCAAATTTTTAGACTTTGTTTTATTCAAAACTCTAGCAGAAAAAATCTCTCTTCTCTAATTTGCCTTGCTGTTTAGCTCATTGCCTTCCTTTTTTTAATTTCATGTTCTGTTTCTTGAGAAATGAAAAAAACACAACCAGTTCAATTGAATTATAAGAAGGTTGAAGCCGAACTGTTTGGAGTCAGCTGCAGTATTTCCCCAGACATACACTGGTCAGATCCAGCGTTCTTCTCATACCATTATGGAAGTTACTGCTTTGTTCCATCTTAGCATTTCCAAAAGTTTTGGGTAATTGTATTAATTTAATTTGGACCTATGTATTTCAGCACTCAAGAATTTTGTATGTTATTAGTGTGAGAAAGGTTTTTCACAGTCCTGACCAGGTAAAATAGTGCAGAGCATCAAGATTTCATTGACCAGCTGTAGTCAGCAGTTTGACAGCACTTCAGCTTCTCAATCCTCTGCCTCTCAGGCTCGAGACTCAAGACATTGAGTCACTTGTCATAAGTATTTCAGTCTGCTCTCGCAAATTTCCGACTCAGGATAAATTTCTGCTTGCTGATGTTTCACACCCTGTAAAAACACATGCTCAAACCTCTTCTTAAGTCTTTTGGCTTTGATAGATCCTTTTCTTTCCAATATGAAAAAAGTTATATTTAGTTAATCAAAGAAGTCAGTATTAAGTGTACTCAAAGCTATGTTTGATTTCAGACATTTTGTTTTGTCAACTTACTTTCAGTGTTCAATATATTTGTTTTGCTAGTTTTTGTCCTGACTTTCTAAAACTAGGTCTTTATTTGATCCGGAGCTTATCCCTTTCCCTTCTTTTCTCCTTTGCTGTTAACATCACCATCAAGCAGTATTTGATGGTGTCCATCTGGGTCCTGTGGCTTGCTCCCCATTGTGCTATTTTGTGACCTTCCCTGCAAGCAGCACCTTCCTCATGGAAAAGTGAAATCATCTGGTTCTCCTCTCTGTGTGTGGCTTCAAGATGGATTGGACAGAGATAGTGTATTATGTCTTTATTCTATGGATTGTTTAAAACATGCAATCAGGCAGGTATGCCACATGAAATCACACCAGCAGAGCTCACACCAGTCCCAGTGATGTATTCTGGACACTGTGGCATGTAAAATAGTAAGAAATAAAAGATTAATAATGAGATGAAATGAGGCAGGCCGACTCAGTGTTCTGGGTCATCTGATAAACCATGAAAATGTGTCATTTTGATTCTGCCTTATTAGAGTAGGATGATGGTTAGTTTAAATTTTGTTTTTAGGATTTAAACTTTGAAATTTTGTTAAGTTTATCCACATTCTCAGTGACCTTGAGGGTAACTGCTCTTCAGCCACAGTAGAAAAGAGCTGTAGCAATGCCAGTGATCATCAGATAGGAAGTACAAAAGGGGATCAAGTTTTTAACACCTATACAATAATTAATAATCTATAAAATAATGTTCATTTCTTTTAAGGGATGGGAAAGACATGGTGGATATTGTTACAAAATCGACAGTACCCCTCGAAGTTTTGAACATGCTTCCAGTGGTTATTTCTGCCCATCTGCACTTGTATCAGTAACAAACAGGTAGTTAATCCTATTAGACAGCGTGAAGATACCTCTAACAAGAACTATTCTAACTTAATAAAGTGTTGCATGGCAAAATATATTACCATTATGAAATAATATTTGTGTGACAGGTGAGCATAATTACTAACATTGGCTAAAATCAAAGGTGTGCTTTGCTTTATTTTTAATTGAAAATGAATTTAGAAAAAAGCAATTGTTAGGCTAATAAGCACTTATAGCAATGTGCACACATGAGCATGCAGGAATCTGAACAAAATGCTTTCTAAAGAGCTGTATGACATCTTTAAGAAACTTTATACTTAGAAACTATACAGAAAAATGAAAATATGTTTATTTTTATAATGAAAATATATAAAGATTTCATCCATATAAATGTTTTACAAATGCTTCTATTTATGTATGCGTTTTATGTGAATTCTCAGCAAATAGGGTAAGAGAGTAAATGTTTGAAAGCATTTGTCACTGTTTTCCCATGCTTTGTTACTATTTACCTTTGTTCCAGCTTTAGCAAAAGCTTCTTCCTCTGCAGATGACCAGATGCTTGGGTTTTCTCTGCTTTCTTTGTGATTTACTCTTTATGTTGGATTCCCATTGAAGTCTGAAATACTGATAGATTAATTACTTAGATACTTTAGCTACTATGTATTTATTGAGTAAAGAAAACCAACAAAAAAACCCCCCAAAACCCCAAAACGCAAGGAGGAAAAATCCACTCTCTTTAGGCTAGGGAAAGTACTATAACCACCAGCAATCAGATGGCTAGTAGCCAGAAATTTTAGGAAAACACAGGCTACCCGAATCAGGATTTACATCAATGGGAATTTTTCTTGCCAGGTGGTTTCAGGATTGTGCACAATGTGTACAGTACTGTGCTGCAGTGTGACAGTAATCCTTTCAGGGAGGACAAAGGACAAATTCTTGCAACTGAGCATTGGCAGCCCAAATGTTGCAGTGAGCTGAGGGAATGCTGCACATCACTGGAAGCATGTCTTCTCTCTTTTTCTGCTTATTTTATTTTTTTTTTTAGTTTCTTTCTTCTTTCTGTGTGTAGCCATCACTAATTACTTCCCAGTTCCACTGTTGAAGTAGCAATAATATGTTATTTTAGTTTTGGTGGGTTTTTTTGGTTGGTTGGTTGGTTTGGGTTGGGTTTGGGTTTGGTTTTTTTTTTTTAATTAATGCTGAGGTTTGTTGTCTTGGTGTGAAAAATGCACATACTTTTCAGTTATTGATCCTAAAATATTCATTAAATAGTAGGTTGTAGAGGAAGTAAAATTGATATAAAAAGAGAACATATAGAGGAAGTGAAAATTAAATATAAGTCCTGAGTCACTCTCAGTGTTACAGATACATTCCATTTTTTACATTAATGTCATTCTTATGGTACCTAGCCATTCTTTTCACCTTGTGTAAAATCAGGAAGTCATGTAAGTCTTCATGAAATTAGGAACTTATTTTGCTGTATGTTTTTTCATAGGCAGCTGATTAAATGTACTCTTAAATGAAGTATTTTTGTGTAGTCCTATACCAATTATGTCAGAATTAATTGCACTTAAGTGACAATTGTGTTACTATAGGCAACAATTATTACTTGCAAAAAGGTGTATATCTCTCACAAAACTTCAGTGAGGAAATTAAGGAAAAAGTGATTGATTCTTTCTGTAGTCAGATCAGCTAGTGCTTTTGGTCCTTCATTTCTGGTTTTTTAGTGCTCATTTGTGTTTCTGGTTCCAAAAGGATACTTCTGTGCAAAGATTTTCCTTTCTTCTAGATCTTTTTCAGACCTCACTGACTTTTCTCCTTCATACAAGGAGTTTCTTATTTTTACTTGTGCATCATTAATATGTTCTGTCTTTACATCTTGTAATTCAAGCATTGAGCTTACAAGATCTCAATCTAGTGTTTCTTTTATGTGCTCAAGTGCTGAAAAAAATTAGAGAAAAGTTGTGACTTATGCTACAGACTTTTTCCTGAAGTTTCCCACAGCATTCTATAAGGAAAATTAAGTACCACTTGTATAGTTTTCTCTTCTCACATAATTTAAATAATTTCATGAGAGCTATTCACTGAAATACCAATTTACCTATTGTATTCTAAAAAACTTTATTTTGATTATTTTATTAAGGTTTGAACAAGCTTTTATCAACAGCATGATCCACAGCATGGTAAAATCTGAGAGAACTTATTTTTGGATAGGATTGCAAGACCTTAACAACACAGGAGAATATTTTTGGCTAAGTACAGCAGGAAAGATTCGCTCGTTGAGCTACGCAAACTGGAACAAGTACCAGCCACGTGAGTAACATGCTGATAAAAAAAGCAATGGCTTGGAGAGTGGGGAGTGTGCTCTCTTCCCCGTGCCACCAGTGGCTTAGCAGTGACTGAAGCATCCCAGTCCTTTCCTCCCTGCCTGGTCAAGAGAGCAGAGAGATAAGCTTACATCTGCCACTCCATAACTTCCTACCACGGATTGAGTTAGGTGAATTGGCAGTTGTGGAGAAGCTGTGGAGCTTCCTTCCCAGCTGTCCACCCAGGTGCTGTTATTGTGAGCTCCCAATTGTGGTTGGATGCTGGATGCCACACTTCCTACCTGCTAGTTTGGTGAGGGAAATATTAATCTAGTGTTTCTTTTATGTGCTCAAATGCTGAAAAAAGTTGGGAGAAAAACCATGGATTATGCTACAGACTTGTGCCTGAAGTTCCTCACAGCCAGGCCATTCTTGCATAGACAGCTAATCCCTGAAAAATTCTTCTTTTCCAGTGAAGTGTTTTTCCATACATTTCTTTATGGACTTCAATACATTTGTTGTATATATGATATTTTTCAAAAAACATGAATAAAACATACATAATGTTTTTCATGCATTTCTTTATGGACTTTTCAACGTCCTCCTGAGACTCCCAGCAAAATGTCCTAGAGATGTCATGAGTTTTATTCAGTAACAGTCAGAGTTTGAAATTTGCATTTTATATGAAAAAGAAGGTCAGACATTGACATACATTTCTGTGAATAAGAGCCTGTATATAGAGGTTTCTTCTTTTTCCCCTTTAGTTTGTTGATACTTGGTTTGCTTGTTTGATTTTGTTTGTTTTATAGTAACTCAAAGGAAAGCATTCCAACAAAACAAAAAGTGAAAAAGTAAAACAATTGTTCAACCTTTGAAACATAAACCTCTTAGCAATACCTGAGAATAGAGACATAATAATAAGACACTCCATTTCACTAATTGCTTCTCAGGTTTGGACTCTTTACGTTTATTGCTTTATGACTGCATTTTGCAAAAGTTCTGTTTTTAATTGCATTTCTTCCTTCATTTTGTGAGAGGAACCCTTTGTCATGGTTCATTTTACAAACTCAAGTCAGCCAAGATGAGCTTATAAACTGGCTGCTAACCAAAGAATTTCCAACTTTTGTAACTTCGTCAAGGTTTTGTCCAGAAACTCATGCTAATAAAACAGCCACTTCCCAAAAAATTCACAAAATTTGGATGCTTTATTCTGATACTCAACACATATTCATTCCCATGTCTAGGTCATTCTGGGGGATGTGTGGCTATGCGAGGACAGCACCCCATTGGTTATTGGGAAGTGAAAAGCTGTAAGAACTTCAAAGCAATGTCATTGTGCAAGCAAAAAATCAGTTCTTACGAAGAACCTGAACTTACTTTTCAAAAACATTTGAGTTCCTGCTATTTTGGATGGGAGTCAGAACCTCATCTGCTCAACTGCTACAAAGTACGTGTCAAATTTGCTTTGAAGTTTTCTGATTCTGCACCAGCTTAGGGATACACTGTTCCTGAAACATTTTTGAAAATGCATTGTTTCTTTCACTCAACAAACAAAAATTACCTGCTACCATCCTTCACTACTTTTTAAAGTGAGTGAAAGTATTAAGATTCAGAACTATACTTGGAATATACATTGCTTTACTTCAGAAAAAAACATGACTGATATTTGATTTTTTTGGCTTTCTGAAACCACTGGTCTCTCAAATCAACTACATTTATGACAATGTTTATTTTATGGCAGATATTTCACAATGAAAAAGTTCTGATGAGAAGAACATGGGATGAAGCAGAAGCATTATGTCAAGATTTTGGAGCACATCTTGCTAGTTTTAGCCATATCTATGAAGAGGCATTTTTAAGCAATCTATTATATACAATTTTTGATAGGTAAATATATTTTTAACATCAACAAGATTTATCTTAATCATACTAATACACAAAAATAATCTACAATTTAAGTGTAGATTATTACACCACTTTACTAGTGTCTGAGGAAGTCCCTACTCTAACATCAACTTAAAAATGGGTGAAGTGTATTAGCAGCATTATAATATGATTCGTTTTGAAGATGATCTTTGTGGTAGATATTGAGCAACTTTTACTGTCAAGGTGATATTCTTGTGAGTTAACATTCCCCATTGAAATGGAGACTCAACTATTTTAATCGTATTTTAAATGTTTTCATCTTGAAAAATATAATTTAACACTTCAAGGATACTAAAAAGTTAAGAAATATATTAGGGAATGATGTATTGAATTCAAGAAGAAATTAATATGTGTGTTTGTACTATTAAAAAAAAATTGCTTCTGAAATAGCTACAGAAAAAGTGCATGAGAAATGTTATTTTCTTTATTTTCATTATAGAACAGAAGAAAGACAGTTCTGGATTGGATTTAATAAAAGAAATGCACTTTCTGGAGGGACATGGCAGTGGTCTGATGGAACACCTGTAACTATCTGTTTACTCTGTATTTCATTCACCTTTCAAGTCATATCTGAGCATACGTACAAAAATAAGCCTTGAGAGCAAATGGTGGCCAGAAAAACTGTTTTGTTTTCATGTCCACATGGTCACTTAAAGTAATTGTTAAAATAGTATTAACAGTAAACTGCTATTAAAGTAGCAGCATGTGCAAAAGGGTTGTGCAGCTGTGAAAGGAACTTGGTAGGATTATAAAGTTTTGCAGACGTGTGCTTCCCGGCAAAGTCAGCTGTGTTCAGCCCAGGACCAGGCATATGCAGAGTGAACACGTGTGCACGCCTGTGTATAGACATAGTTACATAGGTATGCAACACACATTGGAAAGCCTTAGAGTTGTGCTTACATGCTTGGTTTGTTCCATGACTGTTAGGTTCCTGCCTGCATTCAGAACTAAGTCTTTCCTTTTTTAATACTGCTTTTGACATTGCATCCTTGAAGATGTTGATGGTGCATGATACACCAATGGTTAGCACCTGGGATTTAAACATCAAACAACCGAAGAAGGGGCACTTTTTAAGACTGAAAACCAATTTCAGTTTTAAGAAAAGCATCAGGTCTGCTGTTGTTACTTCAGTCATTTCAGAGTGCAAAGTGCAATCATGCAATATGTTGAACCAAAGGCTGCTAAATGTGGGCAACTGCTGTTAATCATATCACAAAATTGTTAGGTTTCATAGCTATTCAATTATTTTTATGAAGAAGAAGTCTGATATAAGATGGAAAAGTTGGACAGAACATGACTATGGACCCTATTTTTTGCATTTTACCACCATAATTTAGGTGGTCCTTTAGTTGTTGCTTATGATGTTTTTATTGTACGCATGTCTAAATCCTTCCTTTTTCTCCATGATGAGATTTTTAAATGCTTCTTCTTGGATTGTCAGCGAAAGAGAATGAATGTGCTGTTTTCAGGTTGTATCTTCATTTTTGGAGAACAAGTATGTTGAAGATGACTCAAGAAACTGTGGTGTGTTCAAAGTAAACAGAACGGTCTTTCCAGCACACTGCAATGAAAAGCGTGAATGGATATGCAAAATACCAAAAGGTGAAATGTTATTTAACATACATTGTCTATTATACCCATTACTTGCAATTCAGGAGGGACAAGAAAAAAAAAATCTAAAAATCTACATTTTAGCCACCTCTGGAGTTCTCATTGGTCTTCTGCATGAAATCATGGCAAAGCCATATGGCTTACTCCATTAGCATTAGTTGGCCAGTTAAGAGATCTAATTTGTGCAGTTACTTTAAAAATGTATAGCAAGATTAGCAGTTAGTTAGCAGTAGTTATTCAACATTCTTATTCATAAAGATTACTTTAAATGTTTTTCAGTAAGTGCAGCTATTACTTTATTTTATTCCATGTTTAACCCCTTTTTTGGTCCCTGAAGGAGAATAGCAATATTCTTAATGATTTTTTTATTTTATTTTACAGGTGTTAAACCAATGAATCCAGTTTGGTACACAGCTGGTATGAAAACATTTTCTTTTTTTTATCTTGAAACAATGTAACTTGAAAATACAATTTAAGCCTTTGGTAAAAGTAAAATAACTAAAATATTCTAGTTGAAAATTTACGTTAAGGGACTCTAGGAATTTCTTGTTATAGATCAAAATCTACCAGTGTTGTTTAGGAACACTAGAACATCAGATACTACACTGGTTAGGTTAAGGAATATTGTGAGTAATAAGCATAGGAGTTTGATAACCTCCCCATCACATTAAAGCTGCCTTTTTGCTAAATCTGGACAACTCTCTTATATTCCTTCAGCCTTATGGGATAGAATATTAGAAAAAAAAAATTATTCACAGTGCATTTTTTTTCCCCACAAATTAATATGTTAAATGTGGTTTTGCTGTTCATTGTGGCATATTTGTCCTCTGACACGTGGATGAAGGCAGGCTCATCATGGCTGGGCTTCACGAATGAAGATTTGGAAAGGCAGGCTACGGGGTAGAAAAAGATGAGACTTGAAATGAGTTTTTACCCCTGCACGCCACTGACTCTCTCATTTTCCAGAACTGCCATGGTCATATTATCAAGGAGCAGAATATCTTTTCCATGTCAGTCCTGCGGACTGGGAAACCTACATGTTTGTCTGTGAATGGCTTCACAGTGGAATGACAACAATAAATTCTCCTGCTGAACAAGCCTTTATTCAAAATAAAATAAGGAAGGTAAGAAAAACTACTCCTTTTAAAAAATAAACCCTCAGGCAGTAACCGGATATTTTCTGCTGCATCATTTGGAATATCTGTCTGCCTGTTACTCCAGGTAGAATCCAAAAGACATTTGACTTTAAAAACAATGCTCTTGCTGTCTTCATTTCCCACATCCGTCCCTGAAACCCTGTTTAGCTAAATAAGAAAGTAACATTTCAGATCTGCAGAACATCTGTGCTGATGAGCAGAAAAGACCCAAGAGGAGCAAAAACCAGCTTCCTATCCCAAAGTTGGGAAAGTAATTGGGGGTAAAGGGAAAGGTGTGTTTTACATGTGGTGTACCTTCTCTGTTTCTTCTTCTTCCTCCATTCCTCCATGACCAAGGGGATCCATTGTGGTTCCTCAAATGTTCACATAGTGGTTCTGCATCCCCTGGGATGTCTACTGATGCAACACAGTTCCACAGTTCTGCTCAATTCCTATTCTGTAATTTGGCAGCTGGTCGTCAGGTCGTAATACTGAGGGACGTTTCAGTGGGTGTATTAGCATGATGTGGGCAGCAAATGCGTGTGTTTGAAATGGTCTCTATAGTTTAAATCCTCAGTATGGTTTGAAAGGTTACCCTTGGGGAGAGCTGGCCAAGAGTGAAAGATTGTCAGTTTGTCTGCACCTTAATTATACCTAGAACTCTAAACAATAGAGGTGAGTGCTTATGACCATGGAAAATAGATTACCTTCTCCTCTGTGTATGCCAGCTTGGGCAATGTTCCAGATTTGGGCAGTGTCCACAGATTTGTATGATGTCTACTGAATTAAACCCCTTTGTGAGTGTGGATATTTATATGGGATAAAAAAGACACCTGCCTCCAAATTCCCTCCTCTCATTTACAGCAGAATTTCTCTAGAACCTTTCTGATGTAATGAACAGGTTTGAACTGAGAAATAACTGCAGAAGCAGATGAATTCCCAGGAAACTGAGTCTGTTTACTTTTAGGTGTTCTCAGTAAAACCAAAATAACAGAAATTTTAAAAATTAATACAAATTGTCTGTCTACCTTACTGAGGACAAAATTCTACAGCTGTTATGTAAAGGGATATTGCAGTGCAATCTTTAAAAGAACAACTAGTTCTGGGTAGAAAAGCTCTTGGCCCATACTTAGTTTTGCTCACACTGTGCACAGCCTTCTCTGCTTTTAGCTTATAATAGAAAGTGTAGGTAGAATTGTGTTGTATTAAGATGGGATCTTTAAGTTTTCCAAGGAATTATGCATAGTTTTTACCTGCTATTTAAGTAATTTTGTATTAAAACGTAATGAAATGGATTTAAACCAATAGTTCATGACAGAAAAAGCTTATAATGAAAGAACAACATAACTGACTAAACTGTCTTCTTCCACATATACCAGAGATTGTGATGTGATATAATTACTGCCTTACCTAACACGGAATGTTTATGAACTAAAAATCATATAACTTAAAAAAAAATGTATTTTTCCAACTTAAGATCACTTAAAATGGATAATCACAATGCTTCTTTAAAGGCACGTTTACTTACAAGAGATCTTTTAAAAGTGGATTTATCATTAAAATTAGTGGGTATTTCAGCAGTTTGTGAGCATTCTGCAATGAAAAAGCAGTTTGGTGACTGAGTGGGATGTTCCAGACAGCTTCGGTTTAGTCTCTTGGCACTGGAAATCAACTTAACTTCCTTGAAGTTTTGTCCTGGAATACAACATACACAGCTATTTTAAAGCCTGCTGACTTTGGCTAAGCTTTCCCAGTATATCTAGGTTTGTCCCAGAGTGACTGTAACTAGTTTCCTCTGGAAGCAGGAGTAAGTATGGCGATCACTAAAATGATACTTTGCATGTGTCGTTAGAAAACCTGGTCAAAATTTCTTAGCATGGAATTTGAAGTCACAATTTTTGCTATTTCTTTAAAAACTGTAATATGTAGGGTGAGTGCTGTGATTAGAAAACTAAACTCAGGGGCAAGTCCATACCAAATCAGAGAGCATTCCAGAGTCTTTTCTTTGTCAGAAATGTCTGTTTTCTTCATTTGATATTGCTAAATAAGCTGTAAGCTGGAGAAATCCTAATTATAACTCCAAGGCCAGTATGGATGCACAACACAGGCTGTACTGCAGTTCTTTCTGACAAAAAATAAATGTGTCACAGAGCCAGGATGGCTTCTCCAGTGTCCTGCAGATTCAGAACTTTTCTTTTTTTTCTTTTTCGAAAAACATCTAAACTGTATCTGACTGACTAACTCTGAAAGTGAAACCCATTTATGGTTTAAGGTAAAATCAAGTCAACACAGCAATAACACGTGGCTGTTGAAATTGTGTTATTTCTGTGGCTTGTCCATAATGCTTTGCCTTTTAGGAGAAAAGGTCTAGACCTTTTCAAGAGAATAACAATCAATCTGAAAAGCATCTCTAGGAATCTCTTATATAAGCTATACGAAGTTAGTAAATGTTCATAGAAAGCATTTTGGAAACATAAAGGATCAACAGTATATTAATGCTAAAAGGAAATATTTCCTATTGTCTAATTTTAGGAGTTGAGGAAAAACAAATTCTGGTCTTAGACTATAGTCTTTTCAAACCAGATAGGCTGTAGATTCCTAAATTTGTAAACTCCTAGGTTACAGAAGATACATCAGCAATCCTGTGGAAACATGGGGGCTAAATCATGTTCTGCTTACATGAATAAGGTTCCTGAAGTGACATGAAGTAACATGGGCAGGATTTAGCACTTGTTTTTCCCATTAGAACCTGATGGAGATGCTATTTGTCTGAATATAGGGTCTGACTTTAGGAGTTTTTTTAATGCATCAATAAGACAGCAATAACAGCTAAACATATGACAAAACATTTTTTTATAGCTATCGAATAGTGACGTTCACTGGTGGATTGGATTGCACGCAGAAAACCTCAGTGATGAATTTCGGTAAGAATATATATGCCTCAGCTGCTGTGAGCTGTGCTTGGCATCCCGTTTGGTATGACGGGCCAAAGCAGTTTGGTGACTTAGGGGGATATTCGAGACAGCTTCAGTTCTCGCGTAAATACAATTCAGAATATATTGTTCTTAATTTATCTCCATGTTACGGTATTCCTTCTGACAGGGTTGTAAAAGATAAAAAACCAAAGACATTAATATCGACCATAGTCCTGGCGGTTGTCTGCTTTTTTAATGCTTAGTTAGTAAAGGGGCATCTTCTCACTTGTATCTCCTTGTGAACCCTTTAATGGAGGGTGTATTTTTAGGTAAGGATAGGAAAAAGTGAAACTACACTCTTAATATTTCTGTGCAGCTGGAGAGATGAATCACCAGTAACATACCAGAACTGGAATGAAGGGAGAGAAAGAGATCTGCAGAAACCAGGGAAAAGATGTGGCTTCATTTCGTCACAAACAGGTTTCTTTTATATTTCCTTTTGCTGCAGGCATTGTGACTTGATTCTGTTGTTGGCCAAAGGGTTTATATTTTTTTTTCATTGCTCTCGAGAAAGGCAATCCATACTGAAATCCTGTTACATGGTTATAATTTGCATAACTGCTTCTCTGATTAAGGAAAGAATAATGAAATATCATTAATATGCTCAGAGACTAGGTTGTGGTTTTTAAAAGTATATTAATAGTTACAACTCTCTAATATCAAAATACAAGGATTCCAGTGATACTGATAGTTTAGTTTTAATCAGTCTGTTATGTGGTACAGCAACAATGTTAATGCATTGCTGGTGTTCACAGATAGTTTTCACATAACCAAATGAGCCAGATGGACTGAGCAACCATTTTTCCTACATCTATAAACCAGTTTTCGATTAGCACACAACTTTAAATACTCAGGTTTCTGGCTTATTTTTTGGGTGCTAGCCTTTACATCATGACATAGCTCTATATTTTACTAGAGTAATAAAAACGTTTACAATGCTGCTGGTTCCAGTGGTTTCTGTCATCTCACAGTCTCTGTTTTCTGAAGATAAGCAAGTCATATGGTAAAGTAAACATGTTGGGTTCCATGGAAAGCAAAAATACCCAGCTTTGTATTTCTGAGAAGAGCTGAAAAAAAATTAATCCAACTGCACTCTTGTAATGTCAGCCACAAAAGTCAGAAATGGAAAAATGTAAAAACTTTTCTCCCCACATAATCCTGAGGTTTTGAATGCTTGAGTTTGCCATTACTATAGTTAGTATCAGATAAAAGGAACAGATGCCTACCCTCCCCCCTGAGCTGGCCAGCAGATGGGGGCTGGCCAACAATTTGTTGAGTGTCCTGAGAAGTGTGTTTTTCTCCTGAGAAGGTCAGTGTTTTATGTCATTACCTGGATCTTGCCAAAAATTTTCAATGTAAGGAAGTCAAGCTATTTTATTTGGAAGTCATCATTCTCATACTTCTTTTTTTCCTGATTAATTTTTTAAATAAATGATGATATAAGCATATGTTACGTAAATCAGTGTAGAGGAGTTGGTTTTACTTGATAAAATTAAGCTGGGAATAGAAGTATGAGTGCAATGAACCATTAAATCAATTGTAGTGCAGTTGTCCAAATATATTTGATGTAGCATCTCCTTTTATTCAAACACTAAAGGGTAGTGATCTTCTTAACAATATCTAAGCTAGCTAAGAACAAAACCCTTTCCAAGTCTCAAACCAATATTAAACTATGATTTTCCTTTTTACACAGGACTCTGGGGTGACGAAAACTGTACTGTCTCTCTTCCCTGTATTTGTAAACGTAAAATTGCAAGGAAAATAGAGAAAGTGATTCCAAAAGACCAGAAACAACAAGGAGTATGTCCCAAAGGCTGGTTGCACTTTGGATTCAAAGTAAAACATTTTTTTCTGTTTGATTGTTCAAAATGCTTTCCATATTTAGGACAGAAATTGTACTTCTTAAGGGTTATTCAATATTTGAAGATTTTCTTCCTTTTTGACAGCAGGACCATTAGGTTTATAACTACTGACACAGTAACACACTGATTTATTGCTAAGCTCCTTCGCACACTTTAAGAAGCTGTCCTAATAAAGTGTCAAAAATTTTACTTTAGTTCCAGTGAGTAAATACTCATATATGCAAAAGCTATCCAAATGTATTTATCCATTTGCCATAAAAAGCCTGCTCCATCCTCTCTTTTCCACATATGACAATTCCAGAGTCTTTCATAATCTCAAAAGACATCTCTAACCTCTTAATGTATTAAGTTGATTCCTAATTGCTCCTGTCCTCTGAAAGATGCTGTTTCAAATGGGGTTCAAAGACAATTATAAACCAAAGTCTATTTGCAGTTGAGGGTCAAAAGGTAATTATTTCATCAGGCTTCTCTTAAATGCATACATTCCTTAATAGCAACATGCACTGAGGTGACTGGATTTATCCCAGTGCTGACTGCAGTGGCTACAAGGATAAACTTAACCCAGATTGTGTTTGCCTTCAAACAACTGATTTGAATACAGTCCTGACGACAGATGAAAACTAATACTGAGCATGTTGGAGATGTTCATGGCAGGACAGAAACTAGTGAAATGCTTAACATTCGGGAACAGCATTTGAAATGTTTTAGTGATCACTCTTAGTGATTGATAAATCACTGGAGGAAAAAAAAACCACAAGGTTTTTTGTTTGGTTGTTTTGGTTTTTTTGAAACAGTGCTTTCTGATACAAATTCCGAGGGATCCAGACCATCTGAGAAACTGGTACTCTGCACAAGAATTCTGCAGTAGCTATGATGGGTCACTTGCTTTCTTGGAAAATGAACTGGAACAAGGTAGACTGCTGCAAATGTTAAAGAAATAACATTTCATCTTCATTTGGATGCTGTAGTAAAGTTTAATCTTGGATACAGATTTAGGAAAGATCATTCAGATCTTACTCATGGTTCCACTGTTTTAAACAAATTAGTGTTTCTCAGTTTCTCAAAATGTAAAGATTCACTGAGATGTATGACAGGTACATTTTAAGGAATAATTGCAGTTTCTTTTGTGCTTACTACCATGCATTAGAAATATGCAAAAAAATGGAATACTCATTTAAAAATTTGCTATTTAAAATTTCTACCTTATGAATGCAATATCTCATTTTTATCCTTTACTAGTACTTACAGTCTGATCTATAGTATAGCACATAAGCATAGTGCTAGGCAGGCTGGAGCTGTCAGAGAAATAAATGCCAGCACATTTGGAAATACTTATAATCCCTATTCATAAAAATCTGTGGTTGAATTTCATACATTTGTAAAACCACTTATTTGGAGGTGGGAGGAATCTCACTGTCTGTCTTTAGTTGGGAAATCTTATTTTCAGCTAAAACTGAGAAAGGCTTCTTCAACTGGACAGTATTATTAGCTAATGGACTAGATCCTAACCCAATTGAAATTAAGCAATTTAACTGAATTTATAGTGAGATGATACTGAAATGCCACTCGTGTTCCTATTGTCTAGTAACTATGTGATGTCATTGATTGGAAAATAAATTTTTCAATGCTTTAGTATGTTGCAAGAGACTTCATCTATCCCTGAATGCTTACCAGTTTATTTTATTTTATTTCTTTTTCATTTTCTAGCTTTCATAACAATGAATCTATATGGATGGAAAACCAGTGTTTGGATAGGTTTCCAGAGTGATGATTATGAAAAATGGGTGAATGAAAATCCTACAATATATTCTAACTGGTCTCCAGTTGAACTAGTGGATGTGAGTATTTTCAGGGGGTTTATGACAGTGAGAAGTTGTTTTATCCATAAAAATCATGACTGCTGTAAGACAAGGCCAAAGTTGTTACAACAATTTAAGCTTCTCTTAATTTTTGCAACTTCAAAGAACTGTAGATACAGATTTACAGCTATAACTAGAAGTAGCAAAAAAGGCACTATCGAGACAGACATTTACATTATTTGTGGCTCTAGTCACATTCTCTTGCAGTTGGTTTTAAGCAGAGAAGTTTGAACTATATAGTTAGTATCATATGTTTGGTCTGAGAAAAGTTTAGGAACAAGATTATGAATTTCATATTTTCATATGTTGTTTTACAACATGTTAGTCCATATTGGGATTAGCATTTTAGTTAGTCCATTGTGAAAGCTTGTTATTTTATTATGAGGTTATTGTTTCAAACTGTATTTATAGGACTGTTTGTTGTTCTACCTAAATATTCGTAATAGAGATTTTCAGATAATTATTCTTCTAAATTTAATGTAATAATTATGCAGTTTTTTACACAGTATATTTTTAAATTTATATAAGTTTCTGTGTTGATTACAGAGACAGCATTTTAACATTCAAGAACAACTTCCACTGTGTACATTGGTATCAAATAACCCTAATTTTTATTTTACGGGAAAATGGTACTTAGAAAACTGTCAGAAAAATTATGGGTTTATCTGCCAAAAGACTCAGGGTAAGTTTTTGTCTTGCTCAACTTCTGTTTTCTTTTCTTGCTTTATTTTCCTCTAGAAATATATATGTAGGTGTCTCTAAAGCCAGGAACATGAAAGATTTGTAAGATCATTTGATATTTAGACAGACTAGCTCTACACTATTTAACAAATCAGTAGCTGTGATATGGAACTAATTGCTAAAAAATGTTCTGTTACGAAGTTTTTTCCTAACTTTGAGCATTCTGTTGTGTGTCTTAGAATCAGGAATAGAGATGTAATTTCATATCTTCTCTCATGGCAGCAGAGTAACTGCATGAAATTACAAAAGGCTAAAACTAAGGGTAATTTTGATGAAAATATGATTTGGGGTGGGCTGTTGTAACTTCCAATATTAGATCAGAATAGACTCTAGAAATTTTATTTTTCTGAGCAATGCCGACTGACTGGCTGATTGAATAGGGTTTGGCTTTTCTTTTCACACTTCTCTAATTCTGGTACTATGAAGTTCACTTGCCAGAAGCACGAGGCTTTTGCGAGGAACACGGATTGTTTGGTTTCCTCAAGCCACGTTCCAGTTCTGCCTCTCGGCTGTGAGCCATGGGCAGCTTGTGCAGCTCTGGAGCCCAATCCCAGGGGCTGCTGCACCTCTGCCAGCAGGACGCTGCCAGAGCATGTTACCAAAATAGATCAGCAGCAAATTATTAACCCTGAAGCAAAGGGAGGGTTGTAATCTGAGCCTTTGAGGAGTCTCCTTGGCTGCTGCATTTAACGCGGGGGTAGTTTTCTGTGGCTCAACTCTGTATTATATATCACTTCTTGGTTAAGCCCTGGGTCTAAAGAGACAACACATAGGAGGGGAGGTAGGGCCAGCTGAGAAGTAGAACGAACAAATATAAGCTCTGGGCAGTGCTCGCATGTGACTCAAGCAAACCATAACTGTATTTTACATCATTTATTGTGAACTGCAGTTGCAGGGAGTGCTGGAGTAATTCTGTACATAGTGTAGGGAAAAAAAAAAAAAGTGTTTTCCTGCTTTTGTTTCAGTGTGTTTCAGTTACCTCCCAAATGTTTGGATTTTAACCCTTTTCTGCTGCTTCAGACAGTTGGAGAAGGTGTGAAGAGGCAGGAAGGAGAACAGTTGCTGTATGGTGGCCAGTGCTCTGGGAGGGATTTGGGCTGCAGAAGGTGCTCAGGATCCTACATGTGTTTCCCAGCTGGGTGAGAGTGGCCCATGGGCCCTGGATGAAATGCAGCTCAGGGCTGCCCCACACACAGCAGAGTGCTCCTGGGTTGGAAGGGACCATCCTGCCTCTCCAGAGGGACACCCATGGCACTCTCCCAAATTATTAGGCAGTTCATCTTGCTAATTCAGCAGAAAACCTTCCTATCTTTTTTTTTTTTGCCTGCTTTATTTATTCATTTTCCCCTAATTCATGTCATGTCAGCTGAGTCAGGCTGAGCTAGCTTTATGCAGGCAAACACCAGACCAAGGAATACACAGCAGGAAGAGCAGAGAAGCAAGTAAGGGGGTAGTGAGACAGCCTCTTGTTGGCAGTAGTGAACTGCTAAATTTGCTCAAGTGTCCAAACAAATGTGTCAATTCCTGGAAAGATGAGCTGGTGCTTTGCTTCTGCCATCCTGTCTGCATTCTGTTTCCCCCTGTTTGAATTATTTTCTGAAGGAGACTAAAATGAAATAAAGCAACAGGGGATCTGAACGGGGCTCTGATCTCTTAATGATGCTTGAGTTAGGATTGTGTCAGCAATTTACAGCATTTTCTGCCTTTCTTTAACAAGTGACACACTGAAAGCTGGAACAAAACAGGGTTCTTCAGTTAGCTCAAGAGCAGAACTTTTACTTGCTTAGAAGTTTCTAATTTTACATGATTTGTGAATGACAAGTAGTAAATTCATTTACTATTTTAAGGTGCTTGTTAACACTCCTCCTTCTCTCTTAGTCATAAAGGGAACCAAGTCTAAAAACACTCTACCTTGTAGAAAAGCAACCACTTGATTTTGTAATCGCAGAGAAGCTTTACAGACAGAAATAATTAATCCAAACTGACAAACAGGATTAAAACCATAGCATTGCTTTATTTTAGTAGTCGTTTAAAGTATACTGGGGGCAATCATGCACATTAGCAAAGGCATTTGCCTTCTGTAGAAGCATGAGCACAGCAGCATTGCAGACTGGGCTGGAGTGGAGATGGTCTCTCTCTTGATTTTTTTCATCATGGGAGACTGTCTTAATTTCATAAATCTAAAAAGCCTGTTTCTTCCTTTCATTGTTTTGGACATTGCTGTGTTAGTTTATCATCAGAAAGAGATAAGTCTCCATGCATAGAGGATTTCTCTTTAAGTGCCACACTTTGATCTCCCCTACATTGGCTCATGGTTAGTGAAGATGAGCTCAAGAAGCCCCCAAGGCCACACTTGTACCATGAGCCAAAGTTTGTTATCCTAAAGGCTGTGCCAGTACAATCGTCTTTGAGGCCAGGCTTTATGCTGTAAACTGATCTTGGAAATTATTAATAATAACACGTCAAAAAAGAAGTAATCTAATTTACATGCAAGGTATCTGGGGTAAGAGCACTCTGCAGCCCACTGCTACTGGACATTTGGGATATGCACAAATCCCAGGTGACTTCTTATTGACCTCCAAAGATGCAGTCAGTGGAACTGACTTCATTCAGGTTGGGGTTTTTTTTGTTATGCATTAAACTCATTCATTGCTGTGATGAGTTTTGTGTTATGATGGAATTTTAGGTACTGCTTTAGTAGTCATCATCTTTTTAAATTTCACTCCTTCCTAAAACCAAGGAGTTTGCAATTTTTAGATTTGATTTTAAGGATAGTTCTGATTTTTTTAGGAGCTGTTCAGCTACGATCAAGTTGTCTGTTTTAAAAATAAATAAATCCTTTTTTTCTGTTTATAACAGACACATCCAGACATGTCATCAATGCATCTGAAATGTATCCTGTGCCAGATACTTTAGAATATGGAAACAGAATGTATAAACTATTAAGTGGGAATTTTACATGGTCTTCAGCTTTAAAAGCCTGCATGGCAAACAGTGCAGAGCTGGTCAGCATTACAGACCAGTATCACCAAGCTTTCCTCACAGTCATTGTGAATCGGCTGGGATACAACCACTGGATCGGACTGTTCACTTCGGATGTACGTAGTAGACTACCTGGCTGTGAATATGGTGCTGCAAAGGAGTTTTTCCAGGAAAAAGCTAGTGAGCTGTGTCATTCATTTGAAGTTACAGAAAGTTTGCATCTGGAAATGAAACCCTGGAAAGCTTGAGCCCTAAACGTTTTTTTGTTGCAACGTAATGTATAAGTCTGATGGGAGCCAGTTCGGTGCAATGACTACTGAAAAACAAAAGCCATAGAAAACTTCTAAAAACACACACAAAAAAATTCTTGTAGTGTCAATGCTGAAATTTTGTTGTTTCATTTGTAGTAGCCAATGGCCCAAATAACCACTTGCTGAAAGCAGCAGATTAGTTGCAGTTTGTAGTCTCCCAAAAGTAAGCTGGGAGGATCGTTGGATCTGGCTTTTGTAGATTCTTTTGGATCTACCCAGCCTTTAGAAAATTAGAAGACATTCTGTAATACCTGCCACCAAAAGAAGATTAACTTGTGTGGTGCTAAAGCATATCAGAAAGATAACCTGAAATTTGTTTTGGCAGAATGGGCTTAACTTTGAATGGTCGGATGGGACTAGGTCTTTGTTTACCTTCTGGGAAGACAACGAGTCCCAGGCCTTTGGCAGTTGTGTTTACATTGATACTTCAGGGCACTGGAAAAGCACAAATTGTGAACAACTTCTGCAAGGAGCAGTTTGCCATGTGCCACCTAGTAAGTCAGAGTTAAGATTTATATCAAATCTTTGCAGCTGCAAATGTGTGTACTAACAGTGGAAGTACGTAAAGGAGATTCATTGGTTTGAAGTTAAGCAAGGTTAAGTATTATTTAAAACTGAAGTATATTTCTGCATTTTCTCTCTGTATTTCCTATTTGTGAAACCATTTTCCCCATAAAATATTGGCCATCAGGTCTGATCTGTAGGAGAATGGGAAGACAACTTTCATAACAGAAAAGAAATAGGAAAATCACTTTGTCTCTTCAGTGAACACTATGTTATTTGAGAAAAATGAGGATTGCTTATAACTTAGCTCAAAGGGAAGTAAATTCAGTTTGCTGCAATTAACTGTGGGATGGGAGAAGGGAAGCATTTAGAGCAAAGTGAAAAATCAGTCACATCTTCACTTATAAGCACGTTAAAAAATTTTGCAAATTTTTTTGTTAAAGATAAGAATATTTTCTGGTATCCTAAAATATGTTTCCTAAAATTCTCTGGCAGTTACCTGGGCTTCAGTTGAATCCATAATTTGGGTCTGGAACTCCATTTAGTCCAGGACTGCAGGGTCTTTGGCAGAATCCAGTTCTCCAAATATTTCCTATTCAGTGGTGTTGATCACCAGAGGTTCACCTACAGCTTATTACAGTTTTTGGTTCTGTTGAGTAGAAAGCTGTTTTGGAATCCTTCAAGACAAAAATTATTGTTTAGCATGGATTTTCATAATGAAGCTGACTGATTTTTTTGGGGTGTCAGGGTGTGTAAGCATGTATAGCCTAAGGTTTATGTGTTTTATAGTAAAAGTAGGAGGCATATGAAATCATAAGTAATGTAGCTGAATCTCCAGCACTGCCATAAAGTGACAGGGGGTATCACAAAGTGACCTTGCAGAGTTGCCTTGAGTCAGAGGGACTCTTTGCTGCAGCATATTGCACACTGGAGAGGCTGCCTGCTGCTTACCAATGGGAAACTCTCATCTGTGCCATGGTCTTTATGGCTTGGTGGAGAGAGGCTCTGTCGTCCTTACAAATCCCCAGCCCTTTGGGAGGTGCTGGGCAGCCCAGAGTGCTCTGACTCATGACTCCCTCTGCACATCCCTACCAGTTAGATTGTTCTGATACCACTGTTGCAATCCAGCAAGGCTTCTGATCAGAAATAAAACCAGCTTTACTCCTCTAATACAAATATATGCAACCACTAGATTTTCACTTTGAAAAATAGATGAATAATGCAATAATATGCTTATTAGCATTACTCCAGAACAGTGTGTGGAATGTTATAATAATGTGCATTTTCTTGTGCCTATAAAGCTGTGCTGTTATTTCTATCACAGAAAAGAAACTCAATGCCTATAAAGGCTTATGTTCAGAAAAAACTGTATCCTGGATCAAGTTCAAAAACAGTTGCTACAGCTTTTCCACAGTTCTGCAGGGCACGAGTTTTGATACTGCATACGAAGTCTGCAAAAATCAAGGTGATTGTTTTGTATCTACCAAATGTCATTGTGATGTCTTAAAATTATACATATTTTCTGAAATTACTGAAAATGTTGCATATGTTTTCTGTATTTCAAGATAACAGTAGTAGAACACATAAGCAAACTATGAAATTGGAGGCAACATAAATCAAAAAAATGTTCCTTTCCATGTGAAAATATTGCTTTCTCGAATAACACATAAAAGGAAACTTTTTCCCTTCAAACTTGTTTTAAAGTCCTGTAAGAATTGTTTTATATTGGTCTGAACATTTTCATATTAATTACAAGTTTAAGAACTTATAATGTATAACCAGACCTTTCAGACTTTTCCATCAAGTCTCATAATACTAACTTTTTGAAATGCAGTGTTACATTTCAATGGCATGGATTGTTTAAAAATCTGTTCTTTGTTTAATTTATAGGATCAAATCTTCTAACTATTGAAGATGAAGATGAAAATGCCTTCATTTTGGAAGAGCTACACAATTTTGGTTATTCTGTGCAAATGGTTTGGTTGAACATCCTGCTTGTTACAGACAGTAAGTTTTGAGTGGAATAGAACTGCATGTAAGAATCTGATTTGGTTTTTTGTTATTTTAATGCTAGCATAGCCATCTTCCAAAAGACTTTTATCTTTTCAGATTTTGTTCACTGACTGTTGCCTGTTTATGATGTAGTAAAACAAGCTTTCTGTAATCGTTACCAGTATTCTGAATACTCAGTATTCATAGACACATGTGAAAACTTCTTTTTCCTGCTTAGAGAAGCACTATAGACTGTTTTCTGTGTTAACTACACAGGATGTTTTTAAAACCTTCAAGAAAAAAAGGTAATGTAGTGGCCAAACAGACAAAATCCTGGCATTCCATAATACAGTATTTTTTTATGTGAGGGTAAGTCCAACTGAAACAGAGATACTTTATCAAAATAATATGCTATTTTGTAATGATTTATAACTTCTGCCCATAGATGAGACAGTCTCCTGGTTTGATGGTTCTCCTTTAAATTATTCTAACTGGGGCATCAGGGAACCTGACTTTGACCATCTCAGAGGGAATTTCTGTGTCAGCCTGAGGACCGCAGATGGAGTCTGGCAATTATCTCCATGCAGAGAAAAAAAGGGTTTTGTGTGCAAAATGGATGCAGGTATGTTCTTCCAAAAAATAAGGCAGTTGTGTCCTTCTAACCACTGTTTTACATGTTCCTTGTTGCTTGCTTACTTGGTGTTAGTTTTCATTTAAATAATTCTGTATTAGAAGAAAAATACCTGCAAAAACCCCAACTGGATAGGGTGAACCTGAGCAGCCACTGCGTCAATGCCAAGTGCGTTGGATTTTCTATGGCATCAGGCTGACCTCCGCAGCCCCCGCTGGGCGGGCAGGCGCATCCTGGGAGAGCTGTACAGACACCATGCCGGTAGGAACATGGGCCTGTGAGAGAGCTGAAGAATTTCCAGGGCCCACACAAAATCCCCCAGTCACTGCTGGACCCAAAAGCTAGATTAACCTACCTCTGCATGGTTCTGTTCATGCACTTGTACTTTAAAAAGTGGGTAAATACCGCTGCTTATCCATGCACAAATGTCAATTAATATGTTCCACCAAATTAAAGGGATTTAAAATAACAGATTAGATTATGTTTAACTTGGCCAGTTGGAATAACACTGACATGAGTCAAATTAAACAAAGAACAGTGCTTTCTTGTGTGGTTTTAGGTAGGTTGTCTTCTCAGTATCCATTTTACAGTGAGTATTCATAATAACTTCTGTTACCTCTGTGGGTAATTTTGTGACTGTTCTGGATTTTATTTCAGATATTGATGCAACAGAACCCTCTGAAAATGGTAAGTTCTATATATTCTTAATTTTTTTTAATAAGGAGTAATACACATTTTGAGCTGATATTTTGTGAGATAACATTTTACGCTGTTAAACTTGTAAATTAAAATGTGTGACATATATAAGAAGTACTAATACGTTTTCCATAAAACAGCTATATATTTAGAATTATCTATAATTGTAGCTATATTTGCTTAACAACAATTTCTGTCCCTCCCTTTCAGCATCATATGGTGGGCTTGTAGCTCTGGCTATTCTTGTGACGTTGGTGATGCTGGCTGCCATTTCCCTTTTTCTGTGGTGCCTGTACAAACAGAATAACCGACTCTTCCACCACATACTGTGGGTCAGAAATGCCTATTTACCACAGATTAATGCTGACGTTCCTGCTTTGGAAGAAAGCATCCTCATTTCTGATTTTGAGAGAAGTGACAACAATTAATTGATCAGAAGTAGCAAGTGGTCTTCTATTCTGTGTGAAACTTCACAACCTACAGTGGTTTTCTCATTCTCAGGAGTCCCCCAGGGTACCCATAGTCTGAGAAACCATCATGGCCATGAATGCTATAGGGGCTCCCCTTGGAGGGCTTTTGCTTTGTGGCAGGATGAGTTGAGGATGCAAGGCGGAGAAATTTGCTCCTCTAGGAAATTTGCTCCTCTGGGACAAGCCAGGAGTTGAAAATACTCACACGCCATAAACCTCCAACCACTCACATGGGGCAGTTGTGTCTGAGGTCCCAGAGCAATGGGAATTTTCATGCAAATTTTTCCTTTGGGAACATGTGGGCCTTTATGTTTTGTTTCTGCTCATGAGGCAGCATTAAAATTTGCCTTGAATTTAGAAACTCTGAAACATATTCCAAGGATGATGGGGTAGACTTTTTTTTTTGTTTTATTTTGGTTTTTTTAACTAGCCATCCCTTCTGCAAAATTAACAGTTATTTTTCAGACAGTGAATTATTGCCAGGTAGATTTGCAAGTTTGCAGGGAGATGAAGTCACTTTTGACTTGAGAGTGCCAGAGTTTTGGTAGTTTGGTCTGTGATGCCTAGTTCATGTTATAAAATAAATTAGTCCAGAGATGTAACAGCATATGGGCTTTGTCATCCTGAGATGTGTCCAGCATCTTGTTAAAGATTTAGCTATGTGATCTCTCACCTAGATTATTTTAGACATGGAATCCGATCAACCTCCTTGAAAGATATTTTTGATCAATATCTGTTTGGAAAAAAAAAAATGTTATAAATCTTGCTAAAGTTATGGTAACAGTGACTTTACTGACAGTATTTCTGCAAGCAGTATTCATGGAGGCTCTTCTGAGACCCTGCTCTCAAAAACAAAGGGTGATAAGTGGGTGAGCCACAGTGCTGTTCCCAAAGGGTGCTAGAGTCCTCTAACCCCATGTAGCAGACACTTCTCCTTTCAGTGTTCATACTAAGGTGCTAAGAAAGGAGATGAATTTTGCTGACTTGTTGGTCTGCAGGCTGATGGTTGTGAAGGAGCCAGCTCAGGTCTCTCTGCTATCTCAATTACAGTAGCCCAGGACAGAAGTGCTTACTCTCTCTTGTACTCCCACCACCCTACCCAGTCCTCTACCCACCTCTCTGAAAGCTTTTCAGGGATTTTATTTTTTATTTTTATTGCAATGTGGAAAACCAAATGGTTAATGATGCGTTTCTTCAGAATGGATTTACTGTAACTTCAGTCATCTCTAAAAGCTGTTGCGAAGGGCTGCATTTGTTGTTCAGTTTCTTGGTTTGTTTGTTTTAAGGTGACTCATTCAGCATTTTGCAAGAGTCCTAAGATGGAGGTATGTTCCTCAGAGTTAAGCAAGCAGCTAAGGCCAACTGATTTTTACACAATATTTGTTCACATTCACAGGAATGTATGACTGCCTTTTAGTTAGATTTTACATGGCCAAACAAAAATTGCCTACTCATATAATAATTATGTATGGGGCTATTCTAAAAAAATTGTCTAGTACATAGAATATTTCTATGCTGGTTTACAGAACCATTCAAAAATGTGGTCAAAAAGGCTGCAGATGGTTTTGATCCCAATATAATTTTCAACCTACTGTTTTTTGATAACTTCTAAGGTTGTAGCTATCACAAATTCTTAATCTGAGATTTTTCTATCATATAAAATATAAATAGATTTTCTGAGTATATTTTGTCTAATGGTTTGACCCTATACATTATTTTTCAGTAATATTTTAAAAGTTTTTGTTTAGCCCTCTTGATTTATCTGTGAGACTTTTTTTATTTGTGGACTGCAACTTTTGAGTACAATTGCAGATAATCTGCTGTTTATATGTATGAACTATGGTAGCTTCTTTACCACCAGAATAAAAGAAGAAAAATGCTTGTGACCTTCTCTCCTTTCCCCACGAGAATTTCACCTATTTAAACTACAACTGGAGTAACTTAAACCACCAAATCCCCTTCATCGCATTCACTGCCTTCTTACAGTACAGAAAGCAGAGTGGCTTGCAAGGCAGTTTTGTTTACAAGAGTAAGCTGTGTCATCTGTGAGGACATGTGTTTATTGGGCTACAATGCTGTTAATAGTTATGCAGACTCTGGTCAGATTTTTATGTGGTTAATGAAGTTGTATTTTTCACAATACTTGACCTAGACATTTTATCAATTTTCCTTGAGGTTGGCTTTAATCATTTAAATATATTTGAAGGGCAGTGATATAATAACCCTAACCTCAAAATAGTGATCGTTTGTTAACATTGACTCTGATGTAGATGAGCTTGCATTAAGGGAAAAAGAGTTCAAACAGTGTTTTCTTCCTACTTTGAAATGGTTTTGAAGGAACAGACCTTTACATATTTATTTTTAAATCTTTCATCATTTAGCTATTAGAATTTCAGGTATTATTCACTCAAGAATGTAATCATTGATTGCTTTCTAGTCTTCCTTCTGGATTTTGTTACTAATGGCTTTCAACTGTTTTCCCTTAATCAAAGCTCTGTATATTGTCCCTGATCAGAATATGTGATGACTGTTGTTTTTATTGATGACTTTGATGATACTGGCAGTGAGATTCACTATATTATTTCAACTGGAAAATAAAAGTGTGATTAATAATTTTCTGTGCTGTAATTTTTCTTGACTCTTTCCCCAGCTTTAATAAGAGGGAGGCTTTAGTGCCCAAGCTTTGCACCAGGTCATCCTGGTAGGAGAGGGACAGCTTGCACCAGCCTCCTTTGTGGCTGTGTGACTGGACCTAGACCTGGGCACTGTGTATGATCTCCACACACATGGTGGTACCAGTGTTTCCCAGGATGCCTCAGAATGTGTGTGCAGGAGATGCTGAAAGGAGGTGGGAGTCAAAGCATCATCAGTAAGGATGATGGATGGGATCATGGCACTGATATACAGATATTCTCCCAGCCTACTGCCTGTTCCCTGCAGTAGGGAGCTGGGACCATCAGGGGTGAGTAATGGGCTGGAGGAATTTTCCTGCTGAACTGTGGAGGGTGTGTTGTGTGGGAGCCTGTTTGTTTCTGCCACAAACGAAGTGGAGATATATGGACTGCAGCACAGCAGCTTCCACGGATAGCACCAAAGTGCTTCCTGTGTCCAAGAACTGGGTTCCCAGAGCCTGAATAGGCAAAGGAATGTTGCAGATTTGTCTGCTGTGCTAACATCTTTCAATCTTCTTACTGAAAGGGAAGTGTTAAATCTTTTCATATCACTCGTTTGCTTGGGGTATGGAAGGGTATCCCCACCAGAGACAGGTACATTCAGGTCAATATATGACAAAGCCCTCTCTGCCAGATATTAGGGTTTGTCAAAACTTCATGTGCTGGTTTTTGCAGATGCCATTCCAGGAGAAAATTTACCTCCCGGTGCCTTTAGCAATCCTTGCAGCATGCCTCTGAGGCAATGCAGCTGTCACATCCCAGTTTGACGTGAGTCTGCAATGGGAACACATGTATGCTGGAGATGTCCAGCACGACTGGACAGAGCGAAAGGTTGTAGCACAAGGTTTTAAGTGGGCAACATGATTTCTCAGCAAAACCCTTCCTGGCTGTGCCACCCTGGGTGCAGTGCTGCCTTTCCTTATGCAGGGATTCTCCTTCCTCTACTGCCTTCATACATACACACTTTTTCAGCAGGGTCATGACAAGAGCAGAGCCGTGGGGCTGTTTGAAATCTGGGCTGTGCACTCCAGAGGGAGCATAAGGGAAAAAACAGGTTTTTGCATGTTCTGTGAGACTTGACTAGCTCTGGTTCCCAGGGCACCTCTGCACAAATTCCCATCTAATTTAACCCCCTACTTTTTTTCTTTCATTATGATGCCCCTCCCTCAGTGTGGTCACAGGCATCTTCAGTCTCTTGTAATAATAAACCCACTGTAATGAAATCCATGGCATACCCTTCCTCCAGGGTATTTATTTGGTTAAAAGCTAAATTGCACACATTCAGCAACAGGACTCTAAATCCACAGCTAAAAAAAAAAAAAATCCACAAAAAAATGGAGACCCCTGCTTGAGCTTTAATAATATTATAATATTTCCTCTGGTAACCAGTGGAATGTTGGCTCTAAACCCCTGCAGGCCAGCGCTGATCTTTTACAATCTGGTGCAGCCCTGATGCAGATATGTGAGTAACCATCAGGAGCAAATCTACAGGCGTTCATGCTCTTCTGAGATGGAAAGAACTAAGGTTGATCTTGATGCTTGGAAGCACAGTCAGTCTCAGTTCTGCCAGTAGATGGTAGTGGTACACACAGAGCTGAAAAAACGAACTGTGCAAGATCAAAAATCACAGGGATTTGCTCTGGATCCTTTAGAAGTGTAGTCAAATGAGCTGCAAAACTCCCAAGTCGCAGGATGGCAAATGTCATTGAGGGTTCTTAGCCATGGCCACAAAGTTACAAAGCTGCGTTAAGATGTCTTTCCAAGTCCTTCTCAGCTACTTTAATGGGATGCATTGAAGTGCTTATAATGGGACAATCCAAGTCCTTACCTTGGTCAGTGGGTTTTTCTTTTCCTTGGTGAGTAATGGGAAAATCCACTTGGGTTCCTGAGTATTAGATAAATATCTTTGTGGTATGTTTTGGTTCTGATGCCTTTGATGGAAAGGTAATTCACTGAAAATGCTCCAGCCATGTCTCTTTACTGGTGAATGGATTTATTTAATATTTTATTTCTTGACTGTATCAATGCAGGCATATACTTACTCATTTTCATGGGAAATGAAAAATTAAGCCACAGAAATGACAATTAGTAGACATTTTAGACATCCATTGCATAAATAATCATTCCACAGCACTGTTGAAAGCAGATTAATTTTCTCCTCCCAGTTTATTCTGTAAGTCACTCAGAGCATGAGTTGCTGATCGCTTTCTATATCCATTATCTTTATGCAGGAAGACCATGATTTGGATTCTGGTCTTAGAAACTTAAGCATAAGAAAGGGTACCGAGAATAATTTTGTAATAAAACCTTGCTTCAAAGTCTTAGTTTTATAACATTGTTTCCTTACACTGATGGGTTTCTCAGACTGTCCCAGTCCTCCTGTAATGAAGGCCATCCAACATCACTGGGTGGACTAGTAGAATGCAGTAGCTGGGTCAGTGTCTCAGAAAACACTGGAAAACAAAACTATTCCTGTATCTTTTCAGATTTTTACAGCTGAATGTTCATCCTCAGAAATTAAAAGTTTCCATTTATGTTGTGCAAAAACATCCTCGGTGGTTTTTCTTTAATTTTTTTTTTAGTGAACACTGAAAATTATCCTGTCAAAGTACGTTCCTCTTGTGAAGCTATTTATTCAGGTCATTTGTTCTAAAGCATGATCTTAGGCCTTTGATCCCAGCAATAACCTGATTAAATCTGCTTTGCCACTTATTCCTGCCATAAGCCTTGTGTGCATTGTAAGTGAGAAGCCCCTGGAAAGCCCCTTCTGGAAGCCAGAAGCAAGCTCGAACAGAGCTGATAGAAGACAGACTCTACCTCGTCAGCAGATCTGTGCTGCATGGCTTCGCTTACGCTGGGTTTGAGACACCATCCCAGAGCTTGATGCTTCCAGGTTCCTTCAGGTATGCAAGCAGAATCCCTAACACTGGACATTGCCAATGAGCTGGAGTACATAGTTTTTTAATATAAAGTAAAAGAATATTCTAATTTATATAAGGTTTCATTTGCTACAGTCCCAGCACACCTTAATATTGCTTCATCTCTACTAGTTTCATTTGCTATGTTTCTCTTGTTGCAAGCAGGCTTACCTGTTATGTACCTGAAATCTGATACTACCTAAATGTTTGCATGACCTAGGCATTATATCTTCTAGTATTTAATATTCAAGATATCAGAAGAATTCTTTTTGAAAAGGTAAGAAGGTAATGTTTCTGCTGCTGCATATTGTGTCCTGCTAGTCTTATGGGATGAAAGTTATGTTGAGAGGCAAATTGAATTACTTTAAATATTGTTTCAAAAGCAAATATTGAAGATGGAATTGTACATATGGGATATATCGTGGCTCTAAAAGACATTAGGTACCATTAAGTTAAATGTGGAAATGTATTAGAACAGCTCTGGGAGGCTTTCCATCTGGAAAGAAGAGATTAATAGAACACCTACAGGAACAGTGGCTCCTTTACCTTTTAATACTTGTAGTATAAATAGCAGAGTGACTGTTCCCCACACATCATATCCAGGAAGGCAGCCAATGCAGCCTATATCCTTGGATGCTCCCAGAGTGCCTTGTCCCACTCACACACCACCTCTGGAACATGCACACCATGTGTTAGGGTGTCCAAGTGTGGTTGAGTTATGGAAGAAGGAAGAAAGACAGTGTGGGCTCCTTTCCTCATCATGTCCTTGACCATCCATCCTCCCTTGACCTTCCAGAATCATCTGAGTTGATGACATAGTTTTTAATTATTGCTATTTATATATAAATTTGCTTTATTTTTGCCCAATTGAAAGACTGTAAAGTGAAAATTAGTGATTCTCAGCTGCTCTTACAGGCTGTTTGACCACTTGCTCTGATGTAGCACAAAGCAAACTCTCATGGAAGGAAAGATGAAAGGAAGAGCCGTTCACTGGTGAAAGCAAACATGTAAAGAGAACAGGGTGCAGTTTTTCTTGCTACTTGGGAAGACTATAACAAGAATTAAGTGACTGAACCACAGCAGGAAATATGTGATAGATAACTGTGGGATAGCTGGATAAGCAGCCAGTGCAAGTGGTAGGGTCACTTTCAATGGCAGTGGGCGCTGTTACGTTGGATAACTGTGATTTAGAAACAAATCAGTCCACCGTGGTTTCCTCCTAACAGTGCTAGATGGCCCTTTCAGCTCACCCTGGGTAAAGATGAGTAAGCCTGACCTGAAAATATTGGTGTGAATATGTTTGTGGCGCTGCTGATGCATCATCCCACTGCCTTCCAGCCCAAACCTACCTTCCAGCTTCCTGACCCACACAAATGCTCAGCAACCAGAATTTAGGATCTCTGGACACAAATACCGTGCAACTGGGATATTGGAAACACCTCAAATTAAATTTGTGATCTGCCTTTGGATAGAAAGAGACAGTTCCTAAATGAGTGAAGCTGAATCATCCAATTCATCTGCTACAGCAGCCAGTGGGGACACAGACATCCAACCTGCCCTGGGTACCTAAAATCCACATGCAGGGTAAAGGAAGTGAAGGTCCAGAATCACTTCATGAAGATCACAAAAATAAAAGGATATATGCAGAAAAAAGAAAAGAATACTTTTTGTTTCTTTTACTCTTTTTTTTTGTTTTGTTTTCCCCCTTGAAGTCACAGACCCAGGTGATGGGATGCCTGATGATCTCTTTACTTGTGTAGTACTTTGAAGATGTCTCTGTGATGCATCTCTGAGTGGTCCACTTGCCTCAGCAGGCCTGGAGCTGGGCCCCAGGTGGGAACAGCCTGTGGGGAGAAGCAGCAGTTCTACCTTCTATGCAGGAGCCAGCAATGTCCAGAACTCCCCTTTCTTCCTCTTGTAAAACATGTTAGTGGAAACAGCAACTTCCTGCATAGCAACTGCCTGGTTCAAAGCACTAGGATATGACTGACTGACAGGGCAGCTTTTGGCAGGCTTGCAAATATCCATTCCTAGCTCCATGTGGATCTGCTGAAGTATTTCTGTGGCCAAATCCAGTTCAAGAGCTGTGGGATAG